GGGGGGGGGGGGGGGGTGTAAGTCACATAAGTATTAGTATTAATCAAATGGTACTGTTTACCTCAGCTCCATAATGCAGTATTTGAGACAGGTCTTAATAAGCCTTAATGCTGGCAAAACACTGATGGTAGCTGCAAGTACACCAATTGGGAAATTGTCAAAGCAGCAGCCAACTGCAGCTATCACAGAGTTCATCTCAACTAGACTTCTGTCTGAAGACATTAACTTGATCAGATGGGCAGACAGACACACAGCAACATCAGTGTGGGCTTCTTCAGGAAGTGCCATGAATATCCTAACACAAATTAAAATAACAGCCTTTCAGTAATGCTACCTTTAAGTAGGATTGTTAAGTCAAGTTACAAAGAAGAGCTAGTAAAATTATGCAAATTTTATAAGAGAACAGATAATGTATGGACCCTAGAATAATGACGGTAGAAGGCAGTACCATGGAGTTTGGTACACCAATCAAATTATGAAACAATCTTGAAGTATTTACAACAAGGGTTCACTTTGGATTTCTACTTGTCTTATATTTTCATCATTCTGTACTACTTTGAAGCTAACAAACCCTAAACTAATTTGTACTGAATTCATAACTACAAAACTTTGAATTTAATTAGACATCACACAAACCATTAAAAAGCCAGTCAAGATATAAATTCTCCAGGCCAAGATTTGAACCGAGAACTGACACTCTTCACCCAATTTCAAAGTAAGTACTAAGCTTACACAGTCTTGTGAATCACAGATAGAAAATGTACAAGGTGATTACGCTTGTCACCAAGGATATGTATACCATCAGACGAAGAGTGAAAATGAATGTTGTATTGCTCATTGACAACAAAAAAGAATTTCAATTAATAGTGATTCATCAAGCCACACCTACAAAATGTGCTGCATCATATCCAGGAGGTCCTGTGTTCAAGTCTCAGCCCAGAGCATTATCCTGACATTGACATTTTCTTCAGTCTCTTAAGGCAAATTCCAGGATAATACCTCAAATCTGACCATAATCACTTCCTTTCAAATCCCTTCCAATTCATTATTCACTAATAAATCTATCTATCTATCTCATAATTTAGGCAACTAAAAGACTTGATCAATAGACCAAAAATAATAAGTAAGAAATGAGGTCTCTGTATATGAAAAGTATTAAACTGTGTCTGAACTTTTATGTCATTCATCAAGAATTATCTGTAGCTCCTGATTCTAACTTCTGCTGCATGTATCATGCATAATTGTTTACATTATAAAGCATAATAATTGTATGAAATTTTTCTACACCTTAAAAACACAATAGAAATGGCAAAAACTAAAGTCATTCTAACATGTCTTCTTTAAGTGATAAAATTTGTGAAGAAAAAGTAATGTTAGTGAACATGCTACTGAAATAATGGGTGAAGTAAATACAGGTAAGGTTGTAATTGGTCCCTGCTGGCTACCACCTCTTGAACCACCTGAAATACAGGCTGAACTAATACAAATACCACACTACTACATCTGATCAAAATATCTTTTACAGTTTCAAAGTAATTCACTTTTATTTAAAGCTGAATGAAAATCTCTATCAGCTGTTTGGCTCATAGGTTAATACTGCATTTAAATATCAAGCAGTGAATGTCTTAAAAAACAACAAAGATAATACATGAATTACATCAGATGACACACCTTGCAATGGCACACTTGAATGGATCCTTGGGAGCAGCTGCCACATATATGTCAATGAGAAGCTGAATACAAAATGCAGACACCTTTGATTTCTCACATTCATTTCCATTTCCCAGATGATTCTTAGCTATCTAAAAAACAAAACAGAACAAGGCACTGTGACACAACTATGCAATGCTTTTGTTTCATATGTACAGGCAGAAACACTGTTATAAAAGATGTTATAATTAATAAGACATTGATATCCGGCAGAAATAACAAATAAATTAAATATGTTCTAACCTGTACAGGTATACATGATAACCTAGTACAAGTTTACATGTATAATAAAATGAATATGCTGTCTAGTATAGGTTAACACACACACATGTGCATTCAAAACATTAAAAGAAAGAAAAGGTTTATGGAGGAACAGTGTAATAATAACTGGCTGTTAGACAAAGAGTAATAACTGTCTCACCCTCCTTCACTAACTCCAAACCAGAAACAGTGAGCTGACCCTGTAATCCTTACAACGAACTGAAGGAATAGACATATCTACTCAATTAAGTGCATCACAAACACTGAATATAGTTATTGCTCAAAGAACTTGATAATTGTGAATCTTGTGACTGCAGAAAGGTTTTATTGACTTTACAATACCCACCATTATGAGCTGGAAGGTATTATTAGTTTCCTTGAAAGTAAGAAGACTTCAGATTATAGATTCAAACAGACAAGACTGTAAGACATCTTAAAGTGAAACAGGGCTACCATACCTTAGGTCAGAGGTTCTCAAGATTTTTCACATCTGGCACTAATTCACCCACTCTTAATGATTTGCAGGCCACTATGTTAAAATGAGGATAACTTATTAAAAATTATATTAAATTAAACCTACTACTGAAAAGAAGTTCAGTTTAATTAATATTCCTTCAAAAATCAGTGATTTGTGAAATATCTGACACTGTTTTCTGCTTGACTAAAATTTCAATATCAGGTTGTTACCTTTCATCCTAGTGTGTGTGTGTGTGGTTGGGGTGGGGGGAAGAAAGAAAAAGGGGGAAAAAAGTGAACACACTGACAGGCCACATGTGGCCTGTTCAGCATCTTCCTCTTCAAAGTACACAGAGTGTCTACCTTTCTTGAACCCTCTCACAGTCCCTGTGAATTTCTAAATCCCTGTCTTCAGAAATCTTATCCTACTTCTCTCATTTCTTGTACAGCTAAGCTTTGGGATTACATTGTTGAAGAATTTACTTACATCTTTCAGAATGTGTAGCTGTTCTTCAATTGTAGCAGCAGACAAAAGATTCTTGATTTCTGTACTTAGAGATGTGCCTTCAGTCTCATCTATTTTTCCTATTATAAAAAGTGTTTTATAACTTTAAACATTCAGCACATTTATAGCAAGCAAGCAAATTTTAAGGGTCTTTTGTTCATGTTATAAAGTCTATCCTCGCTCTTTCTGATATGAAACTAAACCTGAAATGTTACAAATATTAAAAGACAAAAAATAACTGCAACTATACACATACATTTAATCTTTTACCAAAAAAGAAATGTTTAATTTCAAGTACAAGAAACTTCAGTTGAAGAAAATATGAACTGTACTATACAATATTTATGCATAATTGCCCTAGCTTATTTATGAAAAGGAAATGAAGTTTCTTTTTGAACCATGTAACAGCCTCTCCTTTCTTATGACATGGTTGTTATGACTGTTTACACTTCAATCTCTTTTCACTTCAGTTCCCAGCAGTTGGATCAAAATTCATACTAAAATGGCCTTTGTATAACTCTGTATTCAAAACATGTATGGTTTTCTTGTTAGTATAGATGGTTTTGCCAGCAACACAGTGTAGAAGAGTGGAACTCAAGATAAAGAACAGAAAACAGAAGCTTAAAAATATCAGAACAGTGTTCACACACACTGCTTTGTACAAAGATAAAAAAAGTAAATCCATATTTCTCATGTATCTGGAGCATCAGGTACTTCTTTGCTAATTATGTTAATTTGTCAGGATAGAATTATGCTTAAATATCCTACAGGTAAAAAAATATATTAACAAATAAATATGGATACTAAATATATGAACATGAGCTGAAACCTAGAACAGCTCAGTCAGTATAGTGACTGGCTATGGACTGGATGACTGGGGTTCAATCCCCGATGGGGGCAGAGGATTTTTCCTCTAACCTCTGCATACAGACCAGTTCTGGGGCCCACCCAGACTATCTATTGGGTACTGCATTCCTTTCCTGGGGGTAAAGCGTGGCTGAGGTATGATGCTGACCACTTACCCCCATCTATCATATAATGAATGATACTTACTGGCTCTATCAATATGACCTCTTGCCACAGCAACTGTACACAATTCTTTGCTTTCACTGTCAGTAATTCCATTACAACTGCTTCGTTTACTTCCCGAGTGAAGAGTTACTGTTGCCATTTTTCTAATTCAAATAGTTCACTTTTAAAGGAGTAACACATTCCACCAGTACAAAATTATATTAAATGGCTGGTAGCCAAAGGAAGCCACACTTCCCACGAATAGATCTATTAGGTGGTAAATATTTTTAATTATATGATAAAAATCCTAAACTATATTATTTTTCAACACTACAGGACACACATGCTCCAATATAACGATTGCGCATGTTAACAATCGTTTGCATCTGTGTAAAGACCATGCATTGCAGTACATACTCTGCTACTTATAGTAAACTCCCTGGTATCTCGTATTTAAGACAATGACCCCTTCTAATCAATCTCACTATGATCCTCTTTAATATTATCTTTACATTTTCAGTTCTTCAAGAAAATGATGTATTTAAAAGGTTTCCAAATTTGTTTAGTTTGTGAGTCCTCCATGCTTTTGAATGCCTTATGTCTTATGTCCTACAGTACAACAAACTGAATTGTGATATATGATAATTGTAAGCACAAAGAGTAGTTTGACTATGATCTCAGACTGCACAAAAATTCACACCTACTCCATTTTGCACAATACCACAGAATACACAGAGAGAGACATGAATGCAGTCAAGAAAGAAAAAAGTAGACGATTAAGTACACAGGACTTCTATATAGTGCTATATAATTCTAATCCGGGAATGATTGTTATGTTTATTGTATCTAGGGTAGTGCATTACACCAGTTTTCAACCTATGCAGCAAAAAAATTAAATATTTATACGAATTACTGTGGTATTGTAGAAATAAACTGTGGTCGACTATACCAGGTAGCATTTGTCAATAGTTATTAATTTCTGGCGCAAGTCATCTGTGGTACATACCGCACGAGGAACACAAAGCGGAGCAATCGAAATATTACTGCTTCATGTCAGAGAATGGCTAAATCTGGTATCTGTATATAGTCTTGAAATTCGTAAGGCTTATATATTAATAAGACGTGTTGAAATAAAGTGCATTTATTTCAGTGAATGCAATGACTGCCTTGGACGATAGCTTGTTGAGCTTAGAGAAGCTTGATAGGACGTCTCCTGAATTGTGGCCAGAACAGAGTATGGTTTATGGCAAGTAAAATTAATCGACTGTAATGAGAAGTGTTTTATTGTATTTAATCATGTGTTTTCAGTTCCAGGTGTGTCGGAATTTGTGTCGTTGCATCCATCTACTCCTAATGCTTCACCGCAACCTTGGACCAGAGGCTTGGATCCAGATGACATTAACCTGTTACATCGTAAGTCACTCCATACTTCTTCACCGAATGTCGCATTGTAGGAGTTGGTACTCTACGTCGTATTCTGAAGAACTCTCGCAAACAGACTAACATAATAATTTATGTTTTTTCTTAATGCGTACAGGTTAGGTTAATACCTCAAAGTAGGCTACAACCACCCACATCCATATCCTTTCCAGTTCATACGGTCATTCCGCAGATCGACATTATATAACAAAAACTGCAGTTGAAAAAGTGGAAAGGAAGGTGCAGGAAGTGAGAGAGTGAAGAAAGTTTCATTCACAAGTAACTACATATGGGTTTATAAAGCTCCTGTAAATTAAATATTTTGGTTAGAAAACCTGTAAGGACTGCTTTGCATACCTAATAGAGGAGAGGGTGGTATTAAGGATGTAGTGGGCTTTTGTGAGTACAGTAATAAATCTTTGAATTCTTTAAAAGCTGAAAATTAAGACCAGTTGAGTAACTGGCTCACAGAAGACCATAGAATTGGTAGTTGAACTTCTGTAAGTTGAGTGGCAGGAAACCTGAAAAATTGTGTTTCAAGCATTCTGTAAACTTATTTTGATGAAAATCTTTTATTGGAGTTCTAATAAGCCAAAGATGGCACTTTTGGATTATTATGGTGTACTGGAGTTAGTATTTTGCTTTTCTTGAGATTGCAGTGAAGTATTTTATGTGAGTCATTATTCATCAACTTGACAGTTGTTTTATGTAAATATATAAAACTTTGTGAGACTTGTGCTGATTTTTGCATATTTTGATATAGTAAAACTGTTTTTTTCAGAAATTGATAACATTTTAATGCAGAGGTTACACATTTCCATTTTTGTTGCTAAGCAACGTTAATTTTATGTTATTACAGAATTTGGTAGCCTTACAGCATCTGGTCTTATAGCTGAAGTGAAGAAACTACATGATGTTGCTTATCAGCTAGGTTTAGAAGAGGCTAAAGAGATGACACGAGGAAAATATCTCAACATACTGACCAGAAGGCGTCGATAATTGAGATTGGATGCTATATTTGAAGTCTTTTAAATAGGAAAATTTATTTGCCTTAAATATGTTAAATTTCACTTTCTATTTGGAATATGATTTTTTAAGTTGCCTAAGGCACCCAGTTCCTTAGCCTGTAATTATATTATAATAATGGTGTACCACTTCTAATTAAAATGTAATATTGTTTTTTATGATAAAGAACTTATTGTTGAATTATATGATTGTTCAATTCATTTATTTGTTTGCCAACAGCAAGAAGCCAATAACAGGCAAACACTGATAATACATACAATAATAATAAAAAATATTACACAACCAGATTATCTAAACACATACATGTACAGTATTAAATATAACAGGCAGAACCAAAATAGAAATAATATATTGGTATTTAATGAATGACAGTGAATGTGCATTAGCATTGCAGGATAGAATACATGGATACTGTAGGACATGCCATCTTACCTTATTCATATATTGGGATACATCTGTCTCTAATTGCTGCCACCCATTTTCTTGACCAGTTAACAATTAACACTTCTCATATGCTGTTATTTCTGCCAGTGACTATAACTGCTGGAAGTATTTGTGTCAGTCCTTCAACTGTTATAAGTTCCAAAGTCAGCTCTTTTACCTTTTGTGCTAACTGCAACCTGTGTCCCTTCAGGAGGCCTTTTAATTTTTCGGAATAGTTTTCAGCGGGGAATTGATCTGGAGAATAGGGACATTGTGCCAGCACCGTGAAACTATTCTTGATCAGATACTTTTGTATCAAAAAAAACCCTAGAAAAGGTGCATTTTTATGGTGAAGCAGCATATTTTCTGATCCCAAAGATGAGGGCATTTAAAATAGATTGCTTGCAGATAGTGAAGAATGTGTTGATTTTATGATTTTCTCCACTGAACTCATGGTTAATGATGCCCTGGATAATGAATAACATCTTCAGCTTCTCCATTCTGGGTTATGAAAATGACTTCCATCATGAGGCCTTGATGTCTGGTTTGTGCACTGAAAAGGAAGCACATGTTTTATTATCCATGATGACTGTTCAAACTGCGTAGTTCACTGTTGACCTGGTGTGCCATGTTCTAAAAATTACCAAATTCACCACAGCAAACAGATTGTTGATCATGCCTTTCACATACTGATTGATTTACATGTTAAAATGAATCTGTCTACCTTATGTACATATCCATGCATGCTCAGACTTGAAGATTCACAGGTAATGCACTGTTTAAATGTTCACAAATATTTTAATCTGCAACATAAATACCCTTGTAGAACTAATTCATCCAGATGTGTCTTCACTTTTATTGCTCAGTATAAAGAAAAAGGCAACAATCATATAATGTATCTCTCATGCTTTTTATTTTCAGTAAAACAGTAGTATACACCAGTGTTGTGTAGTACTGTAGTAAGGAGCAGTGTTTGTGAGCATAAATGGAAAACAAATGTAGTTTTTGTAGTTTATTTCAGTATTTAATACACTTGTTTTATGTAGAAGTCAAATGACTAAATTTTCATCAAGCCTTAAGTCATTATTAATACCATTAGAAATTCTTGAAAATGAACCCTTGATTTCAAAGATAATTACTACAATCATGTAATAAAATTACAAGGAGGGCTGATTTAATTTCACAACTTAATGGTATGTTTAGTGAACATTGACTGAGGATGTTGTGAGAACAATGTTGAAAAGAATATTTAGTCCAAAGGGAAAGGAATAAAACTGTACAATAAGGAGATTAAATCTTGAACTGTTTACCAAATATTAGAAATATCAGAGCAAGGAAGATAAGACATGCCTATTTTTTTATTTTGTTTTAACCATGGCTTTATGTTTTCCAATTTCTCACCCTACTAGTATTCCAGGTCTGTCTTTAAAGCTGAACTGTTCAGAGACAGTATCGCCTGGCAACACCGTGTGCGGTCGAGTCCCGTTCATCTGCATGTATGCCACTGTACTGTACCAATACAATTTCATATGTCACAATAGTTCCAGCCACCTGGAATGGGAAAAGAGATATAATTAAATAGACTGATTGTTATGGCTTCCTCTATTTTTACTGGTACATCAGACTCTGTGAAACAAAATATAAGTAAAAGCCTAGAACATCTATGCAAAGCAACATAATACAGATTTGTGTTATACCTGTATAAACCCACATAATCAACAAGATTTGTTTTAAATGAGATTATATATTCAGATTCCATATCTATACTGGGATTATTATGTCTATTACCAGTGGTACGATTGTTGGTAAATATCAAATTACATATTTTCTAAACCTATCTCAGAACCTTAATTAAAAACAAACCGTGAGAAGAAGTGTGCGTCTGACAGAAAACAAATTGAGTCCAGTAAGTGCAATATCCTTTGTTGTTGCTTGATGTAGGAATCTCTGCACCTGTAAATGATCCATATTGATTCTTTAACATAGAAATGACCAAGTGGAGACCCATAGATCACAGTGGCCTCTGGAACAGTTTGGATAAGACAGTATGGTAAAAGTTTAGCAGGAACTGAACTGGCAAATATTTGGTTAATTCATTTCATGAAAAATGATGGTGTTTAGGATGATATTGGATACCTATGAATTTACTGAATAAGTAGTCACAGACACAAAGACAAATCCAAAATTAGAAAAATGTTTGGGTATAAACCATAATAGGAGACTTGTGCTTTATGACTACAATTCTGGTTCTGTTATCACAAACACCATTAAAGTATGGTGTATACAAATGATTTTCTACTGTAGGTCACATAGTTCTATATACATATTTTGTATCTCATTAAAAAGTATAGGTAAGAAAATGAGCCAGCAATTAATACTTTTATGATAGTTTTAGACATGACACACAAATTCATATTTCTGTCTGGATCACTGACTCAGGTCTAGATGAATACATTCATGGTTTAAGACCAATTAAATACTACATATTGTGTAGGTTGTAGAGAAATGGAAGGATTCATTGTTGTTATGATTAATTCCATACCTCAACAGAGAAGCTGGTTGCAGGAATAGAGTAAAGTATATTCCTCACTTGACAGCTCTGCTCATTGACACTGGCTGCAGAAAGGGATACTACAATCATCCTCAGGAGTACATACCCAAGAGACAAGCAGAAGTAAACCATTTGGACTGCATTTTGTGGTGGACTGTGAAATGATTAAAACTGTACAGAATCCAATGAAAACTACTACTATTATTGAGCAAACATTATAGAATTAATTAAAAGTAATTTTTACTTTTATACTTTACTAATGAAAGTGCCTTTTCTGTGTCTGTTTTAGATAAATCACTGAAAAAATGAAACTGCTTATATATTATGACAATTTTTTTAATGTATACATTTACCATATTCATCAGTTTACTATTATTTACTGCTGTTGGATGGGCTTCATTACAATTGATCACTTCATAAATTAAACAACTGTCAAGCAATGAAGTGATGGTGAACCCAGTTGGGTTTTGCATCATTTGTATTTCATCAATTTAAAATTTTTCAAATAATGTCAGTTAAAAGCACTGTCTCCCTATAATTCTGACTGATACATCTCTTCACTCACACTAAAACATAAAAATAAATGTAAACACATACAGTAAAACCCTATATCAGAGAGACCAGTCTCCAAATCCATGCATCACATCTGAATTTATCATAATTAAGAAGCCATTAATTCACTTCCCTGTTTGGGAAAAAGAGCTAATATGATGAACAAAGACTGGGAACCAAAATAAGTGGAGTGAAGAAATAGATATCTCCTGTATGATTCATCATGTTTTTTTCTAGAATAGTTCTGAAAAATAATACAAAAGTAATTCAGGGCTATAGCTCAAAAGTGGAAGGAAGTACATATGCATGGAATGCACAAGTCTGAGAAAAATAATGTGGAAGCAACTTATGCTTATTCAGGAGATAATCAGTCTCAAGCTCCTTCCTAATAAAATTAACGGGGATGATAGCTTCTTCCTGGCCAGATTACACAGTGCAACAACCCAAAAGACAGCTATCTTCAATGTCCAGAGTGGCTTTAATTTAGGTTCTGTGAGCTAAGATTGACCTTTTGTACATGTGCATTACTTACTGCAAGCTGTTAAGTAGCTGAATACAAACAGTGTAAAGGTTGTTTGCAAAGGAAAGGAACACCATCTTTGTAATACAAGAGTCTACTGTCTTAACTAAGGAAGATAATGTGTTGTAATCTTTATGCATATGATGCCAGAATCTTGGTGGTACATGCTGCAACAAACAAGCAAAATTATGAAGGGAAGACAATAATACAGAGCTAGGTACTGTAACTACACAAAGAGATCAGAATGAAGGAAAAGATTTTATGTCAACATGAGTTCTAGGAAGAGTTCTGCACATATATTCATGTGTTAGGATCCTTAACAAGCACTTTTGTTGTCTCTTCCAAAACGCAGGTTTATGGCCTTGTATATAAAATGTAAACTGGCAACCAAGGTCCACAACGGACTGCACTGCTTTAAAAGAGAAGATATAAAATGTAACTGCAGTGTACAAGAATACTGTTAGGATAGTACAGTAAAGGCATCAAGCTTTGAAGAAATGGAAGACTATAGGAACCTTTGAAGATAGGCTATTGTCAAATTAACAGGTCTACTTACACTTTGACCTGTGTTTAAATGTTTAAATTATTTAATTGTTCATTCTTTTCCCCTTCCTTGTACTTTCAATACTTAATGGCAAGGAAAGACTGTGGCATTCTAAACTGCCAAGGCAGATTTCTCCTCAGTTTGTCACTGAGAGAGCATTTTATTTTACCATTCTATATGGCAATGGTCAGGCGTTACACTTCTCATGGAATTGCCCAAGCCTCATTCTTAATGTACAATGACATGGGCAATTCTCCTTGTTAATGACATTTTTGCATAGTGGATAATGTATAATAACAGAAAAATAACCATACAATATACTGAATTTATAAAAAAGGATACCTTTCCATGAATGGACTGCAAGCATCTGTTGAGCTGTTCAAATCTGTCAGCCAGTGCAATACTCATTAGAACAATGAAGAGATCCATGTAAGTCCAAGCAAAGGCACATATCACATTGATGATGAACATGATTATACCATTCCAGATGGAACAGGGAAAATAATCATACACATGTGGAAAGCTATTGTAGAAGAAGGTGCATATACCATCCATTTTGTCTTCTACTACACATAACACTGCCAAGCGAATTACTCGAACATGTGAAAGGGCATGTTCAACTGCAATGCAATGCATATTATGTATTAATATTCAATTAAAAGACTGAATAAGTAAACTGGGATTCCAACTGAAACAAACAACATTAGAAATTTAACAAGAACTTAACCTAATAATAAATATACTTTGAACAATTTGTCAATGAGTAACTTAGTTTAACCATTCCAAATTAATTCAGCTAAAATCTTGTGTATTACAAAATGTGAGAATATTAATTTCCATATATGGTATATTTTTTTTTATACCCTGAAGAGTTGTGGTACCAAGTGTCCTTACTTAAAATACTGTGAGCGAACTGCACCGTACCTGCATTGTTGAATGTATGTGTATGTAATATATCTACTGTATGTAACGTCTAGATGTATTTGTATCACATCATTAATTATGTGAAGCGTTTGTCTATAATATGTGAAATTTTACAATAGTATAAACTGTACTTGTAATATGTATTGTATTACTAAGACTCCTGTTGTCACCTGAGTAACTTATGGATCCATGGGCTGTAATAAATATGTATGAATTGAACAAAAAATTATCAGATTCAAACAGATTTTCTTTAATGATGCTTGGTTAGTTTCCTGCAGGAGTGACCATGAATAGCATATAAGGTAATTGCAGCTTTGGTTCACAGTCAGAAACTGATATGTTTAATTTTAGACATGTAAATAATTCATTATTTCATTATATGCAATTTAAAAATACTTCTATAACATTATGGTAATGTGTACCTTTACTTTGAATACTACTACTACTACTATTACTACAACAACAATCAATACATTTTATGTGAAAAATAAAAATTATGGCTACATACTGAAGGATACAGAGAGAAATATTGCAGTTATTAGGTTGAATTTGTGACGCTGATGATAAGGGTAACCATGATGAGCAAGAACTCTCTCCACCTTCTCCCATCTACTAGCTAGAGCTGGCCAATGCTGTGCTAGCAGCAGGAAAAGTAGCATTCTACTGAATGAGCAGCCATAGAACACAGAGCATTCTGGGAACATATCACCCACATAATATAACTCCTCCACCAAGAAAATAAAAAATACTTGTGGTTGAGGACCAAAAGGCTTCTCTACAGTAAAATTACATTCATCACAACACACAGTCTGGCGAGTATAACATGGCGTTTGGGTTTTAATGCTGCTACATCCCAGAAGACTACATACATACCATAAGAACCTTGCATCTTACTTTATTTTAATTGATTTTGATTGACAAACTAAAACAACTTCCATCCACCATCCAGCAGAAAGCTAATTTTTTAAGTGTGTGCCTGTGAAGTGTCCCTGGCAAGTCATCTGCCTGTACATCTGAACAGATTCTTTATAAAATTTGATTCAGCAGAATAACAAATTTCAGATGTACTTATTGATATGTAGTTCTTTAAACCTGAACCTTTATTGTTTTGTATGTTACTTTCCAACTCAACTTTTCAAATGTATTATTAAGGGAGATTGGACTTACGTGTTTCTTCAAAGGTGCGACCATACTTGAAGAATCTTATGACACACAAAGATGTCATGAAAAAAGTTCCAATCAGAGATAATGCTGTGTATATGACATGTGGGTTGAACCACGAAAACCTGCAGAATAGGACTGCATAATTAGGTCACCTGCTTTTTTAGGCCTCATTTATTGAAACAAAAGAAGTCTTCTATGACAGAAATGTCCATCTGTCTGTTTGCATGCCTGTGATTTGGTATGTGTGCACATGGATTGAAGACCATGCAACAGAAGATCAGCCTGATCATATGTTTTAAATCTTTCCTAACAGCAATATTAAAATAGAGACTTCTTAGAATAATTTGGCAGCTGTAACACTAAAATACAATTCTGAAATTTAAAATGGTAGATTTGTAAACTTATCACAGACATTTATAATTACAAATGAAAAATAAATTTCAATACAGTTTAACTAATTGATCTCTTTAGCTATCCATAATAATTTCTCTTCCTGATCCTTCTAACATGCAAAATGTATTATAAAAAAATTTGTATCTAAGACACTGATATAACAGCTTTAATTCATATAATTTCTGACAGTTCTGGACAATTCCAGGTGTAATCTTGAGGCGGGATTTAATACCAGAACCAACACAACTCTAGCAACCCATTATCACAATGATTCATATATGAACAGTTCAATATAATTACCTCTAGAAAATAAAAACATTTAGGTCTAAATAATTAAAAAACAAAGTGTTTTACATTGCAATAAAATTTATTAAATGGTGCCAATTAATGTATTTAATTAAAATTTACCTTCTCAGAAACCTACCCTGATTTAAAACTATTATGAAAATATATCTCTGCATTTGTGTGTTACAGTTTAATAATCATTTGTACAAAATATCACTGCAGAAATACTAAGATTAAAATAAAAATTGAGAAATATACATTCCTTCTTATACCTGAATATGTTGCTGTGAATATATTAGTCTCACCTGATAAATGAAGCACTTGAACCTCTAATGCCGTAGACAGGCATCAGCCCAAAATACTGAGCTATAACAATGACTGAACTGAATGCTCTGTGGAAAGAATCTGACTCAGACACAGAATGTTTCTTATATTCCACCAGTTCAGATCTTGCAACATTATCCACAGTGTTTCTTGTAGGTACAATGATAGCTAGTGGGTCCATTAACTCTGGTATAGTCCCACACTCATTAGTGGCAACTGCCATTTGAACAACTTCAACACAAATTCAAAATGTAACACAGGACTGAAAATAAGAGCAGTAAGTTGCTGTCTATTATATGATAAACTTCCTTTTGCCAGTTTTTGCTATTCTTAAAATCAAATGACTTTTCAAATGAAGCATTACACTCTTTAAGGCAATTTGAAATGTTAAGTGATACTGGAAATAGTTAGGAGAAGTCAAATGTATGGCCAAATATATAGGCACTCTGAATTTTTGGGATTGCCAGATCTCTTAGAAAAGCAGTTTTAAAATATGTAATAAATCCCCAAACAAAAATAACTAATTATTATGTGGGTCTAAGGAATTTTAGATAAGCCTCAGATAACACTGTCTTGTAACATATCAGCTGCTAGGTGTAAGAACTATTAGAACCATTGTCAGTGCTTCTATTCAACTTTGAACACAAAGTAGTATACATATTATGGTGGGAAAGACTATCTCGCATGAAAGTTAAAGGTTATTTGTATACCTTGGTACATCCAGTCTAGCTTATAGCTTATGCTTACTGTTATCTTAACTAATGCTTCAAATACTCAAGATAAACTATAAGAGATGATTTGTAAACAGTTATTTAATACTTCCAGAGAAGTCATACTTCTAAGACATTTTTATTAATACAAAGATTTCAGAAATTATCAGAACTACTTTACACTGGGTTGAAAAGTTTTGAACAAACTGGCAGATTTCTTTAACCCCATATGTAAATATCAGTAACAGAAGAATACTAACACATATGTGGAAATATCCTACACCAATCTAATTCTGTTTATCGTTGCTATCCTAAAAAAATAAACATTGTGAACCAAGTTGTTGCAAGTGACAGGAACATGTCTCATTAATTCTGTAAGAATATTGAATATGTAGTACTACAATATCAGATAAGTATCACACACAAATTCTGAATACCATAACACAGTTGTGTGCCAATGAACTAAATATTTGATGAAGTAGGAAAGCAGCACTGCTGCAATGCTATGATTGGATACTGGAGATGTTCTCTTTCATGCTTACTGTCAGTAATTCAATCACAGTTTATATAGCACTATATATTGTACTATTTAGTATTCAACTTAGATTTGAAAAACTTTACCTGCCATTTATTCATTTAATACGGAAAATCCAAAAGCACAGTGTTTATGCACTTACCTGTATATTGCGATCCTGATTGATGTTTTCCACAATTTGCTTTAGTTTCTGTCTTTAGAACTTTTGTTTAAAGGGACACTAAGTTCTTATATCTCATTTTATAGCAATTAAAAAGCAGATAACTTTAATAGTAACACTACCATCATAATGTTTGTTATAAATTATTTTAACACTGTTTTAAAATATTAAAATGCTGTATTGCAGTGTTAATTGGAATCCTGTTTACAGGAGAAATAAAATATATTTTCATATTAAATTTAAATACAAATGAAAATTATCTGCCAGCAAAATATAACAGCAGTTCACTAATGGCATTCAATACAAATCATATCAAGTTACAAACCATATTATTCTTGTACTGTATTCCAGTAACCCATAAACTTCCTAATGCTGTCCTTCACATCTTCACACAAGCAAGCATTATGTTAGAGGTCTAACAGTTGGTGAATGAATAAAGTTAGATCAAAACTAAGACACATCACATTTAATTACTGAAGTGTTTCAGTTATCTTGGTGGTGATGTCAAGATGAATGTTTGAGAAAACTTTGCCAGTATGAATGATTGAACTGCAGATTTTAATGTGTTGTTTAGAGCATTACTATAATATAATATTATTACTCAGTTATTTGTAGACCCTGTTCCTTGATACTGTATGAGACCTGGTGCAATGACTTTGCATTTTATCATATGAAATAAAATGAAAATTATATTTTATTCTCATTTGACACAGAAATACTTCTGTCAATAAATAATGAACTTGAAGAGCATAAGTATTTCTGTAATGTATTACTGATGCATGATGCATCTTCTAGTAGATATGCCATATCAACACAACACATCAGGGAAAAGTTAAAAAAAAGTTGTTATTTTTATTTCTGAAGTTTCACATAGCTAATACTACAGTTACAGACCTTTGTAATTTTTAATTGTATTTTCTATGCAATTTAATATTCAAAAATTACCAGACAATTCATATCTGGACATAGGGTGTCTCTGTTTCTGGGGTTATTTTTCTGCTAATTATAAATTCATGCTTCAAGTATCCTTGGCTGTCTACTTGCATTTGTGTCCTGCCTCCTTAGTGCTTAAATGAGGGTGATACAGAAAAGGCATTATTAAAGATGGTGTCTGTATAAATAAATTCTAAGAAATATCATGGAGGCTAAGAAAGATCTTTAGATGTAATCTGTGGATATAAATATGAGTGGAAAATTAGTGCTGTTGGTGCATGTTAATTCTCATCAATTACAACTTAGTGGTTACAGCAGGAGAGTTGTGATATTTAGTATTAGGAACAGTGAACATTCACTCACAGTACTGGTCAGTTCTGGGCAAATTATAGCTAATTAACCAACTCCATGCACAAGTCTTTTCAAGAAGTTGCTAATTGCTGAGGTAGCCAACTGTTCTGAAACATTTGTTCAAAATCTCACACCCTATTTCTTTAAGATATATCTTTAATATTATCCCAACATGTACCTGTGTCTTTGAAGTAGTAATTTCCCCATCAGGTTTTCTTAACAAACTTTTGTGTGCAATTTTTCTCTCTGTGCATGCAAATGTCTTTTCAATCTCATTGTACAAAATAATTAGAAATAATGAAGCTTCCCTCCAGTAGTTTTCCCATACTTTTTCCCCTCTGTCTCAGGTCAAAACATACTTCTCAACACTCTGTACCCATACCAATGTAAGTTTTCCCTTAGGTTGACAGACCAAGTTTCACACACATATATATATATATATATATATATATATGAATCAATGCAAATTATAGTGTAATGAATTTGTTCTTGTGGTTGAGAATCATTTAAATTTTACGTTAAAATATTACTATTAGAATCAGGGCATATTAGTATTAGAAGTTCCACATTTCCCCTGGTTAGTACTTTTTATATACTGGTCTTCAGTATGACCTTCAATGTAATTCAAATTAATCTTCTCTATCAGCAAAACTAGGGACAAAATAATCAATATGTATACAAATCAATATACTTTCACAGGCTGACTCAGCACTCCATACAAGCTCCTGAAACAACAAAAGAGCTTTGTGAACTTTAACGACCAGTGCTAGCATAACAATCTCTTGTAACATGTTGTGTTGTACAGTCTTTCTTTTGCTTCATGCATGCCTGTTAAAAAAATTGATTGCTATAACATCACTATTAATGACATGCCACTCTCCTTACATGACAGAGTAATGACATCAGAAGTGTGTGTCTTTAATGGGAGCTTTATGGTTGGTATTATTGTAATGGAAACATATTTCAACATGTGGTGAAAATTTTTCACATGCAGTGTTTGTGTGTGCCAGAAACATTGTTTGAGACTATGCTCATAACACTTCATGCTGAGGTGTGATTAGTGACAAATTTTTCTTAAATAATATTCCCATGAATTATGTTGGAGATAAGTTCACACAAATATTCTGATGATGAAAATACAAGTTCCAAAATATTTTGATTATGAGAGTGGACTTACCAGAATTCTGTACTGTATGCGAGGGTCAGTGTAATGTGATTTGTTATTGCAATAAGCAAAGTGCAGGCATTTAAATACATGCTAAAATCTGTCTCTTGAGATTACTGAAACATGAAGATAATAGGATTCATTTATAACAAATTACTTCAGCCTTTGACAGAAGTCAGTGGGTTTATGGTAGGACTGTGAACAAACATACACTGGTAGCAAAATGCAATAAGTTCACAGGTTTAAGATAAAAGGTAGTTCATATAGGTAGCTGGTTAAAGATCAAAATAATAAATTCATTCATATGAGGTAGCCTTTTCTGGGGGTTAACTGAGAAAAGCATGGTCAAAAGCTCTATATTCACTGCCTACTCACTGGCCATACTTTGCAAGATATTGGTGAGTCTGTCATAATAAATAAGCAATTTAATTATTTCAGCACAATTTATGTAAATCAACCCACATGTGCAGAAATCATTTACAGAAGGAGAGAAATACAATTTATAGGCACTTCCACAAACTTTATTTATGGCAAACAGAAGAAAATACAAAAATATTTCACTAATCTTTTCTTTTTGTCAATGGAATTATACAAATATAACAATGTCACAAAAATCAAGAAATTTTGTTATTTCAGTAGTTTATTGAAAGACAGACCAGGGCAAAGAATGGGTGCTTTTGTTAGTATGAATGTTCTTCTGTACTGCTTCTCCAGCGGTATGAGTTGATGTGAGCAGAATAATGGCACCAGCAGTCCAGCCCAGCACCCTCCAAAGTCAAAATGAAGTTTACATCAATGTCAGATTTAATCAGCATTTCTATTCTTGAGATTAAAATATATATTGTTTATGATTAATTTTTTCTTGTAGCAGAACCCACAGGTCCAACACCGACAACACCAAAGCCCACCTTTATGTTGACCTCTTAAAATTCTTGTAGAAGTATCAATAAACTTGATACTGTATTTTACTCATAAAATTTCCTTGTCATGTTATTTGTAGTATTGCTTCCTATGATAGTGATGCTGTTTAACTGCACTAGTACAATTTCATATGTCACAATTGTACCAGCCAACTGTGGACAATAAATGAGAAAGGAAGCATCATATTAAAAAATGAAACTTATTCCACATTCTACCAATTATTAAACTACATAAGTGAATTAACTGGCAAAATATATTTTGTTTTTTGTTCTGCCCTACATGGTTGAAATACAGTATGATGGGCACTCTGCAGGTGAAAGTGCAGTGTGTGATCTAGCTCAATATCATATGATTTGAAATCTCTCAGTTTCTTTCTTTGATGTTATGTGAAGAATGTCACCTATGGGTCAACTGAGCAGGTTGATGTGGTAAAACTAAAAGTCCCTTCAAATGTTAGATCACTACACCTGTCTCACCAGTGTTGAACCATGTGTCAATGAAATCAAATATAGGATGGACTCTGCCATGTCATTAAGGGAGACCATGTGGAAATTTACTAACAAAAACTCTGAGATAAGCTTGATTTCTTTGTTCAATGTTGTTCAGTATATTTATTGGTTAATAAAAATGGTAGCACCATAATATCCTGTAGGTTTCTGACAGTCCTACCCCCCACCACCACCACCCCCAAGTTAGTTTATCCAGGTGAAAAACTTAATAAAACATACACACACACACACACACTGAACATTGTGAAGTTGAATAAAAATAACTTACTGTTAACAACAGGGTTCTTGTGATGTGGAAGAAGTTCATCCCGGAGAGTGCCACAGTATCTGTCACTATCTGACTCAGAAACCTTGAAACCTGAAAATCATTCCAGTGATTTATCACAAGATGATATGTCTAAAGAACTCAAAATCCAGCCCTTTCAAAATACAACAACAAAATTCTGCTAACAATTCTTTTTACCTCTCCTCTGTAACTTTCTGGAGGAACATCATACAGAACCCTCTTTGGCAGTAGACTTTCATCATAAATGCTTGCTGCATACAGGGATAATGTCACTGTTCGGAACAGTACAAAGCCAAATGACCAGCAGAAGTACAAAGTGTTTATTACACCATCCAATGGGCTGCAACAGGAATATGTGGGTTGCAATTTTAATTTCATTATATCATCATCATCATCATCATATTCTTATTGGTATGTGAGACACACTCCTTCATTCCTTAATGACAATTGTTTAAATTATATATAAAGGACAGAAAATTTGATTAAATTGTAGCAAATGTATCAGCAATAATGTCATTTAGCTTTAATTCCTGGCTGCTATCATATAAATTACTAAAAACATAGATTCTTGTTGTGAAAAAATAAATATTATGTGACCAACAGAAAAAGCATATCCAAAATCTCTATACAATAAATACTGCAAAATTATCATAAACTTTCCTGGAAGTGTAACATCTGCTACTCAAAAAGCAATAAACTATTTTAACTTACATCTGGTAGTATTTCAAAGCCACTGAAGTATTTAATGTCACCTGAATGGACAGATCACATATTGTCAAATAATTCCAATGGGTTAACTATGAATAACAATATACTGAATACCTATAGATTACTACCCATCCAGCCTTCTAATGACAGTCTTTTTTTTAATTATCACATTTTCTTGTCAAAAACTTGATGTCCTAATTACTAATTGTCTGTATTGATTTAGTTTATCTGTAGTTTTTAAAAATGTTTCAATGAAGGTCTACCAAGTAAAGATTGTTGAATTTTCAGTTCCATACTACAAGCAAGCAAAGTGAGTAAAATAAATTACATACCTCAGACTATTCAGAAGTTGGCGACAAATGAAATATAAGTTACTTCCAAAAGACACAAGCACAATCTTGGAGATGCAGGAATCAAGAGTCCTGGTGAGATGTGACAGATTGTTGTATTCTTCTCTTCTTTGGGCCCAGAAGCTTTCTGGCAGAAACTAATAAGTAAACAAACATGTGAGTGATTATTCTCTATTTTCTAAATCAATAAATTACTGATGTATTGCGAATTGTGAATTATGAGGCTGAACTTGTGAAGATGGTAATTAACATGAGATAAAAACTGAGGTTGAAATAAAGACAAACTTTTATTGTAATTTTAAATTAATAGATTTTGTTAATTCTGGATACATAAATGATACCAAAGTATTCATAATTTTGGCATGAAAACATGCTGGGAAGAGATGATAATTACAATTAACAAAAAAAATACTTTTTGTAAATAACATGGATGAAATAACCTGATTTTTTACTAAATGACAGTAAACAATTTTTAACATTTACAGTATTTTTAATCTCCTAATTCTCTGAATACAAAATATATGAACTTCCATATCACCTATTATGCAGCTTCAGATATGGACGTTATTTAATTGAGATTAAACTTAGAATCACTATTAAAACATTCAGTTGCAAATATAACAAGAACACTAAGAAAAAGTTATAAGTGCAAAGGGAAATATAATATGGGAAAAAGGAGACAATGACTTGACAAATTGTCTGTGCAAATGTATTTGTATCTGCACTCCAGATTCTATTTTTATTATATTTTTTCACCAGTATTACTTCAGACAAGCAAAGCTGCCTGTACTCTCAACTGAAATATTGTATATAACACTGTATTTTCTCTCACACAAAAGCTATTAATATACAGTGATGGGTTACCTTCCCCCGAAGAGAGACAAGGTACTGGTTGAAGAGGTGAAATCTCTCAGTGAGGGCGAGGCTCACCAGTATGATGAATAGGTCTGTGAAGTTCCATGCGAAGGTGGCAATAAAATTGGTAATTAGTGTCAAAGTGGCTGTTGTGAAACTGTAGTCCATAACAGCAAACATTTGGTTGTAGGTTCCAGTTTTTGTAAAATAGTGGTGGAACATGTCAGTAATGTTGTCTGTGTGTGCTGCTGCTACTGTTATCCGACTTGACTTACTTAGAGCATGTTCCACTGTGAGTCACAACAAAGATAAAATTAATTTTATTTTGTCAATTTTGTTCTGAAGTAAATATGCAAAATGAGAGAAAATCATTCATTTGGAAATTAAGTTATAATATAATGGTTTTCTTTCCTACATTATAAATTAAAGAGTGCTCAATAACTTATAATACAGAATATTTCTATTTCACATGGTCACCTCTGCTCAAATATTTAATCAGTTATTAAAACTTATTATAAAATATAAGTGTAATTGAAAGTTAAGTGGCACTAAAAAGTTTCATAAATGAATTATAATATTTTTAAAACTGTACTGGATAAAATGAGAACACTAATGCCAATAGTCTTTTATTTATTCAAGAGTAGCTGAACTCTGTTCAAAAGACTATAAATACAGAACCTCTTGCACTAGCTGCTGTTTTCCTGAAAATCATCAACAAATTTGTATTGACAATTGTATCAACAGGTGTGGTCATAAGACTACTTTAAGCCATGGTGAGACTTGTCAAAGATCTGAATTAAACATGAGGGAAGAGACACTGTATATCTTTTACTCGGGTACATTTACCTCCGCTCTACTAATATGAAGGTGAAGGGCAAGGGGGGGGGGGGGTTGTTACATGCAAGTAAGAGGCTAATTGGTAGATACAAGTGTAAATGTGGGATAATATTAAAACTGATCTTGAAGATACAAAATATTTGATGGTATGGACTGGATTCAACTGTCAGGACAGAGACCAATTCTGAGCTCTTGTAAACAAGGTAATAAATCTTCTGATGCCATAAGAGGTGAGTAATTTCTTAACTAAGCAACTATCAACTTCTCAAGGACTCTGCTCCATGAAATTAGTTATCTACTGGTGCTATGTTTTCTGTTACTTTAAGTTAAAAAAACCAGTCACATGTTGATGTTGTAACTAGTTCTTTGTTTATACCCAGAGCTCCAGTCAATACAGCTGTTGCTATAATTTTTATCTTGAGATGCAATCTTCTAGGATAGCCATAATGTTTCTGAGAGAGTTCCAAATTCTCCCATTCCACCATCAGATTAGGCCACTGTTTGGCAAGTTGGAGAAAAAGCATGTATGTTGTTGTCACTGTCCCAAAGAATACGACACCATCTGTAAAGAAGATAAAACACATCAATTAATAAATTTTCTAAAGACAGTTGCTGTTGCCAGTCAGGCATATATTTAACATGGTGACCACTGCTACCACCACTATAATTATCATATCTCGTTCATCTTGTCAAGTGAGATCTCACTACCCTGTGACGGTCTCCACCATTCTAAGCATCTCTTACAATTCACAGTTATTTTGGGGGAACCTGGTATTATTTATACACTCACATATAAAGCCCACTGAAATTCAACTAGGAAGGATTTCTTTCACATCCTTAACCCCTTACCCTCTTACTTCCTTTTCTTTATTCCTTTCATAACTGTATCTCATAAGATGGCTGTTTTCTGGGTTATAGTGCCATTTAGTTTGGTAGAAGTTTACCAGGTCCAGGAGGAAAACTGTATGCATGCCTGTCAAAAGTTACTATATCTGCAGAAAAAGCATGGAGACAGCATCAAAATTTAATCCACAATGAATGCTCCGTATTTTATTTTCATTGTAAAAGATACAATATGCAGCACCTGTTCTTAGGTATAAAGGATATGGTATTCAACATACAAAGGGAAATGAATTAGCCCAAAAATACAATTTCTAACAGTGACTCAGGATCTTATTACTTTAATTATTTTCAAAATTGCCTGCTTCTTTGCAACTTATATTATCAACTTCTCAAAACTCACACTACTTGCAGTGACATATTTAAAGAGTTAAGAATTTGTTCTTAAATTTTTCCAACCAACTCACCAGATTGTTCAAAACTTATGCCTGACTGCATAAGTACAACAGCAAAACACATGTTGAGACCTGCTCCTAGCAATATGAAGATGCTGAATACAGCACGGAAACTGTTCCACTGGAACCTGGGTAAAAATTATAGTGGAACATAATAATAAGTATATGTAGAAGTTGGGGTTTATACACAGTTGTGTCACATTTTTATTGGGGTATAATGCTGTCAATTATAAAATATCTCTAATGTTCTGATGAACCCATTGTTTTAATTTCCAGAGTTAATACATCACTAAAAGAGATAGCATGGAACTTTCAAAGGTAAGAAAGTAAGCAAAGAGAAAGTGTTTAGTTTGCAATTCATAGAATATTAAATCTTTTATCTCAACCAGCTAAATAATGAAAGATTTAATATTCTATGAATTGCAAACTAAACACTTTCTTTTTGCTTACTTTCTTACCTTCGAAAGTTCCATGCTACGTATAGCATAATTAAATATATGACTACCTATCAGTATATGAGGAGAATGTATGGCCAAAAGTAGAATGATATAAGAAGATTACATTATGTGGAGTTTCATAATTCACACTCTTTTCTAAAATTGTTAGGTTGACTTCAATCGCGGAGGGTAAGACAGGGGATATGTAGCATGCATGAAAAAATTTGAAAGGAAAGAGATGACATAAAGAGTCCTAGCTGTATAAAAGACAAAAATATTAACATTTATCTTAGAGAAATAAGGTATGAGGATGTGGAATGGATTCGAGTAATGAAGGTGGTCTCTTTTGAATATGGTAATGAACCTTAGGGTCCCTTAAATACAGGACATTATTTGACCAGCTGAATAACTGTCAAATTTTCAAGAATGACCCTGCACCATGGAGTTACATAATTAGTTGTAAGACTGTACTAAAATAAATCAGCCTGCAATTGGTGGTCTGAAAATTCTTTTACCTTTTCCCCTTTTGAAAAGTCTGCTAGCATAATATTCTAAGTGGAATGTAGTGAAGCAGACTAAGTTGAAAGTGAGAGGGAATAAATGTTGTTTGACTGCACTTTACTTTATTTCACAAATGTCTTATGTCACTGTCTGCTTCTATAATAATGCAAATTGCAAGTAAAAGACAGGATAATTCCTTTTGTGCAATCTAGATAAATATAAAAACTAGTATTGTTTCATGACTGGTAACATGTAGTTAAATATTATTTTTGGTTCTGCTAAGAAGAAACTGTCAGACATGCAGTTTTATCCCACCCCACTTGAAGAAGTGACTTGGTCCACTTTATATGCAGATGAAGCAAACAGTCAATTTTGAGTGGCACTGCTTGAATTCTGGCCAAGTGATTGATCTCCCAAACATCCCAGCATAATCCATTTTGGAAGGTTAAACATCTTTGTCAGTACATGTAGAGTTTGAATACTTCTGAGAGAAAATTAATACCATCAACAGTTAAGCACAAACTAGTCACCAATATTCTAGCCTGTGACTGTCTGGCCACTATATAGTATAATATTTATCCATATTCTTGACAACCTAGGTATTCTAGACTAAACATGAGAGAGTTTATATTTGTATGTGTTAGGAGCAATACTGGAAAGTGAATCTTATAACAAGTGACTTGAGACATAGGGCATCGGTGCACATTTTAGTAATAGCCTGTAAATTTGTTAATACTTTCAATACTGATAAAGTACATGACACTACCTGAGGCTTGCTGCATTGGGACCAGTAACTCCAAGTACAGGTAGGAGGCCAAAACATTGTGCAGTCACTATCACCGAGCTAATGGCATGGTGGAATGAGTTTACATTTTCTTCATTAAGCGTAACAGTATTCATCATGGCCAGATCACATTCCTTGAAGAATCCTCCTGTCATTGTTATGCTTATTGTTTCTCATATTACATTTCTGTGTGCTTTTTGTGTTAGTTTACATTTGCTGGATTCTGAAAAAAAAAATTACAAGGAAAGAGGATATCATTGCCCTTACAGTAAAACCTCATAACTTCTTAAAATATATAAAATGAGATTCCCATGCTACCTAGTAGTCAAAAGTAGCTAAAGCTTTGGAAAACAGTTTTCTTGGTGGTAAACATTTGGTAAATATATGAAGTATTTTCTATAAGACAACCTATCATAAAGATCACAAACACCAAGAAAAACCAGAAAAGCTCTCTGCTATGACCTGACTAACTAATAACATCAATAAAATACTAAAGTCTTGACTCTATCAATGTGAGTGTTCCTTGATACAAACTCATGCTTGCTGTACAAGATAACATACAGCTATACAATACACAAATTAACAAGACGCAAAACTGCCACACTTGACCCCATGCAACAAGCACAGTTGATTGTGAGCTACTGCTTCCGACATCACATCCACGTACAACACCCAAAAATAACAACTTACTGATACTCATGAATACTAGAACAATTATTTGCACAACTTCTATTAAAACCAGTAATCTTGACAGATCTTATATTACAATGACAGATGATTACAACAAAACAACATACGAGGATATTATTCATTCCAGGCACCAATACAGTTGAAAAGAGTGCACAAACAAGGTTGATAAGGTAATTACATCATCCATCATTCTGTCCTGAAATCATAATATATCTCATTCACTACAGACTGGCTTGAAAAAAGACATACACAAACACACATATAATAGACAACAAAAGCACACAACCAATGAGAATGATGTGGATTTATTAGTAAATTACTACAAAAAATAGCTCATAACAAATAAAATGTAACATTATTAGGCATTCTTTAAAAGACAAAAACAATTTAAATCCTCATATTTTGATCATATCCACACATTTATTTCAAACTTGGTAACAACAGTTCTCTAGGAAAATAGAATATGATAAAAATTTAAATTGGGTAGTATTTTTTAAAACAGAAGTTTAAAAACTTTAGGTATTGCTACTTTACCTAAACAATGAAATCACACGTCAGTTCGGACTGACATTCCAATGTCTCAAAGGTTCACTCCACACTGACACATCTGTTTACCTGTGAAAGTTTAATTACACTGCTAATCATCCCTACTATAATCTTAAATGAAAAGTTGTTATGAGCCTGGCAGCAAAACATAAAGTTTTAACTACAAAATAAAATAAAAAACACAAACATGAAACAGAGCAAAAAGAAGAAGAAGAAGAAGGAAGACTTGGTATGGCAGTGACTAAATAGGTAGCACAGACCCTGACAAATATTTACTAAGACACGTGGAACTGATATTGATTTCTGCAATATATCAAACAGCTACATGCAGCAGCAACAGAAGTGATTAGAACCAGCACAAAATACAGCAATATAGGTGTAAAGGGTTAACTAAAAACAAGACTCTACTTAGTTTGACAAGCTGACCATTTTAAACTTAAATGGTGCTAGATTTTGTGTGCCAATGAATGTTCTCCATGCACCACTGGATAAAGATAAACCGTACAATGAAATGGTATATAAGTAGAGGCGTTACCAAAAGTTACATACGCCCTGACTAGATAAACCTCACACGAAATATCTCTGGACCTTGAATATCTTTGAAGTAGCAATACTAAGTAAAATATGTGTGCAAATGCAATTCAAATTAAATTAGTGTCTTTGATTCAGTTATACAGTGTGAGAATGCATTAAATAAGACCTACCCAATTTTTCAAACAGGTTGAAGGAGCCTTAAGATAATATTGGTCATTTTTGTTCTTTGCTAAGTTATCATATTAGGGGTTTTATTCAGCCACTTAATGAATTGACCCACGATGTCCTATTTTCATTATCAAAAGTGCAACATAAAAATATAGTAGTCTGTAATTGAAATTGAACAAGATATATTTTCAATAGAACAGCATAATACTGATAACAGATATATTTATAAAGATAAAATCAGGGAGAACTTGCTACAATTTGAGTTTTAAATGTAACATGTAAAAGTTTAGAAGAGAATTTATTAAATATCTTGAGAAATATGATTTAAAAATAAAATTTCTAAGAATACAGGGGCAAAACAGCATTTTAGAAATAAACTGTAAGATTAAAGCTGAACAAGTGCACATCAGGTAAACAACTCATTTCTAGTTTATGCCCACTGCACTGCCCATAATCTGAATTTAGCCATAAACAAGGCTTATATAGATTTTTTTTAAATTCCTACTTTGCCTCTTGAACAAGTACAAGTGAGCTATCATTTTCAACACTACTTCATGTCAAAACACATTTAAGTACACCTACTATGAGAGACTATTGATTAAATAGACTACAGACAAATATATATTGCAAATACAGGACTGTGTATACACACACACTCACACATGCATGCACAAGCACATACACCCACAAAGAGAGACAGGGAACTCAACATTTCAGATTATGAAATACAAATTTACAAACCATCATCAAAACCAAAATATTTACAAAGTGAGGAATCAGGTTCTTCTGATGGCGATTATGTAGATTGCTGTCCTCTGAGTTGTAATATCATGTAGTCCGGTAGAAGTTTACTGACGTTTCAGAAGTGCTTACTGCCCCCATCCTCAAGATGATGAGTGGGTGATCTTTCTTTTGTGGAAGGGGGTGTGTGCGTATTTGTTTTTCCCAGTCCTTTCTGGGATTAAAGTAGACTAAACTCAAAACCTATTTCTGAATATCTAAATAAAATGGCCTTCATGCCTTCGTATTCTTTCTCACTGTGATGCTTACAACATGTGGGGAAAGTTACCCGTCTTCATGTAAATAAAACTGACGACTTTCTTACTGTATTTAGATTGACGATTTGACTCCTGAAGAATTATTTGAGCATTGCAATTATATTTATGCGTGTATATTTCTTCTTCTTCTTTCTCATCTCCCTTTTGCCTTCAAGGCGTCGGGGTTGATTGCTCGGTCCACCTCCTCCATTCCTTCCTATCCCTTGCTAAGATTTTCATCTGCATTAAACTTTTCCCCTTTTCATGCCCTATTTTTCTAATAGTATCCAAGTAGCTCTTTCTACGGCGTCGGGGTTGATTGCTTGGTCCACCTCCTCCATTCCTTCCTATCCCTTGCTAAGATTTTCATCTGCGTTAAACTTTTCCCCTTTTCCTGCCCTATTTTTCTAATAGTATCCATGTAGCTCTTTCTAGGTCTTCCTCTTGTTCTGGAACCCTCAACTCTAGCTTCCAAAAACTGTTTCGCCTTTCTTTCATCTGCCATTCGAACAACATGTCCAAACCATTTCAGTTGTTTTTCCTTCAATTTTGTTCTAATTGATTTAATTCCCACCTCTTCTCTAATTTTGGTGTTCCTTATTCTATCCCTACGCGTTTTCCCTATTGATTTTCTGAGGCATTTCATTTCCACCGCTGTAACTTTAGATGAATATTTATTTAAGTTTGGCCAGCTCTTGCTGCCATATAATAGTGTTGGTTCTATAACTAATTGGTAGAATTGTTTCTTGGTTTTTATATTCAGTTATTTCTTTCCAAATATTGTATTGTTTAATTGGTAATAAGCATTATTTGCCTTCTTTACCATATTTAGGATATCATTATCAGTTTTTCCATCTTCGGTTAGCATGACCCCCAAGTATTCGTAGGTTCCTACTTGTTCCAATTTCTCATTTCCACAGTATATTTCTATCTCTCTTTCATCCTGTTCTAAGTGTATATTTCTAGAAAGCAAAATGTTCCACCATTTTGTTTACTCTTCTCCCGCGATGCAATAAGATATTCTGAAATGTTATTGCACCTGAACGTCAGGCTCTTGATAATTAACTTTAACAATTTAAGCTGGCAGTAAACAGTGATGAAATGTTCACTGCCTGTGTCCATTTCATTAACACTTTCGTGGTAACAGAGAATAACAAACTTCAGTTTTATACGCACTACAACAAATAAGCTATAAAGTCATGGAAGATCAACAGCTGAATGCAACGAAACTCAACGTCGATTTCATCAAGCTACATACAAATGTAATCCTGATGACGAGAGATTATTAAAATTTTCAAACCATTATCATTTCCTGCCGTTCAAGAATACTTGTGATCTTAGTGCTAGAAATACTCAAGTAATTTTGTATGGTACATTTTTAACAACCCCACTGTGATGAAACTCGCTGTACTCTAGTAGCACTTCTTCACTGTTTACCTGTAAACGTTATTTGACTTCTTACAAATACACCGCATTTTCGTCAAAGCCCTTCATAAATAAAGCAAAAATATAATACTAGAAAAATTACAATCATTTTTTTCGTGGTATTCACTGTAACGAAATGATATAAGTGGAAACAACTATGACCGATTTTTCGGCGTTTTACCTGCAGATCGTGAGCCCCACGCAAGAATATAGGCCACTGGAAACAGGTATACGCATGAGCTGGCAGAATGTTGACAGCAATGTGGATTAAAACCCAAAATACGACATGCCTATATGTACTCTATGCCCCGCCCATGACCCCACCGTAGTGATATAAAAATGATACCTTGGTACAGCAGCAAACAACAAATTACCACGCCCATACGAGTGCGTTGAACAGTTGAACTCAGAAACTGTCACAACAATATTTTACGCTACTGTGATGTTTTTCCTATCAAACATAGACATGTCTGATAAATACCCCCTTTGACCTATGTTTACCACCTTGGCGCCACAATGATTGCTCTGTGCTTCCAAGCGACGAATCAAACTCTGTACTATAGGGCCTACTTTCTCATGTTGTAAACTGCAAGAGAAAAAGTTACAGTGGAACCACGGTTCCGGAGAATTTGACGTAAATATGTCTATACGGAAAGGAAGTTTATATATTGGCTTTATTCTAAATATTTCCTTTATACATGCTTTACAATTGCGTAGAGTTTGATTAAGACATTGCTTATTTAACTTGAATTAGTTACGCTTAAGATGGGTCTGTGGTAGATGAGTGTAATGTAATGTAACGTTTCCTAGGTAACAACAATTCCGAGTAAACACGACGTTCCCTAGGTACACTTGTTACACTTTTTCGCCGAATGACCCTTCCTTATAGACGTATTTACGTCAAAAACAGAACAAGATTCCTATAGAAGAGAAGAGAATGTATTTACATTCCATAGCGCCTTATGTTTCACATAAAGAAATAATGCATTAGCAATAGGGTGTGTAAAATATCAATGACACACCTCTTAATACATACACAGAAAAACTGGCAAAAAATTACTTTTATCCACCTGTTTCTCAAAAATGTGGACTTTCTGAATCTATAACAGGGTGACTAAAAGTATTCGAACAAGACATAACGTCTAAATTATAAGAAGAAAACAACAATACTATTTTTAACTTACTGTTTCACAAAAAAGGAAATTATTAAATTAGCAGAGACTGCCCCAAAATAATTACTATGTAAGTTATAAGCTAGATGCAATGATAACCCTCTTTAAATATAGTTTATAATAGTTGAAGATTTCTGTCTTCTGGGTTGTTGCGCTGTGTAGTCTGGTCGATGATAACCAACGTTTCAGAGGTCAGAAATCTTCATACTCACTGCTGTGAAAACCTCAAATCTTACATTTATAATAGTTGCTAAAAAATAAAGTAAAGCTGTCCCACTATACACCATGTAGGCGCTTAGGGGGAGTGGAGGTATAGCTCCTACTCATTCTTGACCTTAGCACTAGATGGGGTGAGTGGTCAGCATCACGCCCCGGCCGGCTTTACCCCCGGGAAAGGACCCCGGTACCCATTGGATATGAGGCTGGGGGGGCCCCATAGCCGGTCTGGACGCAGAGGCTAGAGGAAAAATCCTCTGCCCCCGTCGGGGATCGAACCCCGGCCGTCCAGCTAGTCACTATACTGACTGAGCTATCCCGGCTCCTATAATAGTTGCTAATCCAAACATAAGTTTGCAAGGACCCATTTATGCAAACATATTATCTAAACTTATCTCAAACAGGTGAACAAACAGCAGTTTCATACTGCATCTCTTAACATATGGAATATATAGTTTCCAGAATTGGTTACCAAAACTGCAAACTAAGTACAACTGATTTAAAACTGAAAATTACTTATCAGGCAGTGGTAACAGCTGTTTCCATATGCCCATGTTTTATGAACTGTTAATTTCCACTATGTACTCAAAGCCACTAATGCAATATTATCAAGGGACCTTGATGGATATGTTGGTGGATTAGTCTGACAACAGCTGTTGTTTCTCATATGTTATTATTATACTCCCTCACTGCAATCTGTAATCTTTAAGAGAAAAGATTTTAAAGGAAGTCATTGAAAAAGAGTTCAGGCAGCTAAAGGAATTGACAAACAATACATTCACACCGCAAATGTCTTCAGATTTATAAAAATGCATAAAATATGACAAGTGCAAAACAAAAATAATATGACTGTAAAATAGACAAATACAAAAGTACACAGAACTACTGAAGATACAAACATAAAAAATTCAGATTTCTGAAAGAAGGATAAAAATTAAGATTTCACGACTGTGCTCACATACAATTTTTAATTTATTTTTACAATAACTACTGTTTCAAAGAAAATAACACTGAATACTCACCATGCTGCAGATTCTAATGGTCAGTTTCTTTTTATTACTTCTTGTGCTCCTAGTCCATAAACACCTTCTGCTAGAACAATCTCTTCAGAATTGTGTACAGAAATTTCCATCCTGAAAATTGAAGCAGAGAAGAATGTATATGTTACCAGCAATGCATAGAATACTTAGGCAATGTATAGAATGCCTAAACTCAGTAGGCAAAGTATGAAATAAATCGTAATGTATTATAGTTTGGTAGTGTAAATAAAAATTAATCAAAGTCGATTAGGTAAGCTGTCAAGATGAAGGTTGTGCAAGATAGTCGCAAAAACACCAAGCTACTGAATCTGACATAGCAAGAGTTTTGAGAATTAAAAAAAAATTGTTTTATACACTAACCTAACCTAACAAAAGTTTTGAGAATTAGATTTTTTTTTGCAAGTATAAGAGATAATACAAAACTGTATATAAAAACTTCTTTGTTATATACTTTGCCTAAATAATCTGAGGCATTTTATAAAATTCCTAGGTACTCTACACAGTGGCCGTGTGGTCTGAGGTGTGGACCTTGTGCTGCTTGGTCACTGGGACTGTGGATTCGAATCCCACTCAAGGCATGGATGTTTGTCCGCGTCTTTCTGTGTTGTGCTATCCTGTGTACAGGTAGAGGCCTTGTGTCAGGCCGATTACTCATCCAAGGAGTCCTACCAATTGTCTATAGATCAAAGCCAACAAAAGTTGGGACCCGCAGAAGCTCAAGGCTCTGAAGAATGAGTTGTCCAAGTACCCAAGTAACCTTTGCCATATACTTACTTTTAAAGTGCTGTGAAATTTAAGAATTACTACACCGCACCAAAACCGCCTTCTCACCACAGGGATTTTCTCATGGCCGGTGTACCTAGATGGTTTATTCACCATTGTCATGAAAGTTCCACATTATTGTCTAGGAACCATTATTGTGAAAACACACAAGACAGTCATCTTCATACTTGCTGCCATGACAACCTGAAATCTCTCATAACCAACCTTGTAATGGCTATGGCTGAATCTGAAGTATAACAGCATGTAACACATATTCTTGGATAAATTAAATATTTTTACACTCTACATACATGAAAAGCAAATTCAAGACAAATAATCTGTGCACAATGACAAAATTAGACATTTACAATTTAAATTTTTGTAAGTAATTATATAACTGCATACCAGACTTCACATCAGGAAAGAATAATCACATTTTCCAGAATGGCTGGAGGAATGGTACTATACTCAAAGGATAGAGAGAAACAGAATGTATTTTCTTAACTCAACTGCAAAATGACACGCCACATTTATTATGTTCATGTATATCACAGAATCATACACCAACAAGATCTGGTACCAACTTCACCATAATTAAAACATTTAAATATATGATACTTTAACAATTTAATTAAATATATCATATATCTAATACTATAAACATAATATATTTGACTATATCAACATGTGTACTGAATTTAGTGTTAAGTACAGATGGTTAAATTTGATAATTTATTTGTACAGCTACTTCAATGCATGCTTAAACAACTTTTATGTAATAACTGTCTACTCCAGCCACATGTATTATTACATAAGTGCTATAAATATCAGATCTACAGTCATTACATATCATATAAAAAATAACATACACCTGTATCATTCATCAGGATTACTTGTCCTCAGTATGAGATTGACTTGCTATCACATATAAAGACTCCTTACAGTGGGATAAATACTACAAAACTGAAATGAATGTCACATCAGCTTACAATCCAGTCTAGTCTTGTGGCACTGACTGGCAGGCAGCCAAAGATATACTTTCTTGCCTTCACACAGTAGCCTGCACAATAGAAAATTAAAGTATAACATTTATAAACAATACATATGAGTGAAGTGGAATGGAACAGACATATAGGAATTGTCATTATGTATGTGATTCATGTTCAAAATTGGATTTATATGGCCCATTTAAAATACAACAAACTATGTACAGCATAATTCTTCTAGAGGAGCTGATAACCAAGAACCTGGTCAATAAACATCCCACTTTCTTGTAACTCACAGTTCATTATTGTTCTCAAGAGCTTGCTATGTAACCATAACCTGTAAAGATTTAATCCAATCCATCCTATCCAACCTGATTTCTTTAGAAGTTTGTTTTTATAGCATGTTCCAATCTACATCTCAGTCACCATTCCCTTTTATTTTTCTGACGAAGATTCTGAATGATACTCGGCAAATTTACAATAGCTATATTGGGATATTTATGTATTACTCTATATGGACTTCTGAGTAAAGCCAAATACTGTAATTTTGTGATACCAACAGGTTCCACTGTTTAGCTGTTGTTACACATGAATCTTGTCAACTGAATAAGTGGTCGCTGACAGTAATAAGACAAAAATGCTCACCAGTTCTAGTCACAGCTGCATGGAGAACCATGGACCCTCAACAGAGATTCTATTACATTAAGACATGAAAGGCAAATAATTTAAATATAATGTATTATTCTACTTACTTTTACTTCTAACATGCCGCCTTGATTTTAACTACATACTTTTTTTACACTTTTCTTCCACTGCACTGGAAATCTGAACGTTAATAAGAAAACAAAATATCTTTAAACACTATAATTCAGTTGCCTACAAGTTGTATATTAATTAAGATTTGTCATATATTTTCAACTTTACACCACATGTAATATAAATTATAATGATAACTCATGAGAGAGAATAGCTCAGTCAGTAATGTGACTGGCACCAAGCTGAACAACTGGAGTTTGATTACTGGCATGGTTTTACTCTTCACCACCACATCCACAAGAGCACTGGAGCCCACTCAACCTCCTACACAATGAATATGACAGACTCCTTCCTCAGGTATAAAGCAACCAGAACATAAAGTGACTACTCACATCTATGTAGTGTTGAGGGTAAGAATTTGTGGAGCTTTCATCACCACTTCCCCATACGTATTCATGGGTGGTATTTAAAACACTATTAAATCATGTGATTGTACCACTCTTTGAGCATGCCACTGCCACAAGACTCACATACATAAAATAAAGTCATTATTTTCCAGTCAATACTAATACTACATGCTTTAGTGTCTAGGCAATTAACTAACAAGACAACATAGATGTAATTAGTAAAAATAATACTAGCAAAATTGTTAACTCACGTCATTTAGCAATTAATATACTGTGATACTCAATATCAATTTTAGTGCTAGTAGCATCATAAGATGAAACTGCAAGAGAAGACAATGTTCCTTTCACAAAACATGGACATTCATATGGAACAAGGGCATATTCTTAAGAAACATCCAATCAGGTCTCTCACTGTTGAGTGCATTCCTAAGATTTATCATTGTCAAGTGCAATCCATAAAATACATGTGTAGGGGAAAAAATTACACGTTTGCTGTGAATAAAATAAGTCAATATTTACATAAAATGCTTCTATGACAAATACCATTGCAATGACAAGTTTCCTTAGTGGCAAGCATAATGTAAAACTTCATATGAAAAAAATTAATTATTTAAGATTAATAAAAAATCAAAATTTGTTAATTCATTCCTGAGTATTTTCCAAAATACCAAGTTTTTGTATAATGTAAAACCAAATTTTGACACTGAATACCTGAGTATTATCCTAAAACCAACCTTCTGTATGGGAGATCTATAATATGTCAACACCTAAAGTATGCTATGTGAAAGCCCAGCACAATACAACTCAACAAATTAAAATATATACTAAGCGGAAAGTCATGAACCACAAAATAAAAAAGAATTTGTAAGATTTTATTACATGTTTTATATCAACAAGGAGGGAGATGTAAATGGAGACATTCTATTCTAAAACATCTTGCAAGAGTTTGTTATCTGACATACTGAGGAATGAGTCACCCACTTTATATTAAATTTATTATTTCCCTGGAAGTTCCAGAAATTATAAAAAGGGGAATATGAGAATCAAAAGCACAACTGAGAGAAGGGAACCATTGATGCTTCAACAAAGGACATGATCACTGGACTACAATCATAGGAAGACTACTTCGAAGGGAATTAACTGCATTAACTGCCTGGACCTTTAGTTTCAGTCCCAAAATATTAGTCACACATTTTGAGCAGATTTCAGAAAACAGTCTTTCATTATGCGGTCAGTAGAGCTGGATATTGCCTGATTAACACAGATGCCAACACAGTGAAACAAGGAACAGAAAGAGCTAATTTGATTATTGTATTTATTTGTGTATCTGTCTCCATCATGTAAAATACTCCACTCCTATTTACTTAGACATGCTGGTTATCACTGTTTACATTGTAGTCACCATTAGTACCCACACCCCTTCCCAGAGAACTGATGCTAAAAACTTCCTTTGCCTAACCATGTATTCAAATTTGTTAAACCAATTGGAGCCACTAATATAATTTCTATTGTTTATGGTGTAGTCTTTCATCTACTTCTCTCCCACCATCCCAACAGACTGATTGCCAGTCTTTGTGGTAGGAAACAACTTGGGATGTCTCAAAACACCAAGCTTAAATAATTCAATAACCATCCTCATAACTGTCAATCTCATCAGTTTCTTAATGGCGGTATGAAGGACGAAAATAATAAAAATAAATGTCAGCTATTCTGGACTTACAGCTACCACCATCAGAACACAATACAAAACGAAACAAAGACAGAAAGGGGAAAAAAAGAAACAGGAAAATATTATCAGGGTAACAGTGTTTATCATGTGACACATAGCCATGTCAGCATTACTTAAAGCAGTATGTATGAATGTAACAGCAAGATTCAGTAAGTAGCACAGTTACACACTGTGTGGAATAAGCAAGAAAGAATTATAGTAGGTGCAAGCATGAGTGACATGAGGAAAAATATAATTATTACATGGCCCAGTTCAAATTATGCACTGTGTCATTAGTCCTCCAAAGGAAACAGTAGCTATTTTAAAATTACATTTTCAATATACTTCATTCATACTACAAGAGAAAATAAATGAAACTGTCCCACCCTTGTTTTAACATAAAGCAGACTATGCAAGAAAACTGGAGCAATTATGTTAGAATATATGAATATATAATGATAACACACAGGTGAAATTCTAGTTCACTCTATTTCTCAACTATACCTTAACATAAAACTTCATAGTCACATCATTAACACAGATTTTGTGTTCAATTCAGCACCCTTAAGGGTATGCATATTCTGTAACACTTGTGTCTTTTTGGGCTTTCACAAGACTACAACATTTTTGTGAAAAGAATTGTATCATTTAACTCTCACACATCTAGGCTTTATCAGAATCTAATATGATAAGTCTACAGATATATAAATAGAAATACTGGTATGGGAATAAATTCCAAAGTATGCTGATACAAGTCTGATTCAGTACGTGCCATTTTCACAACAAACTGGAAAATTTGAAACCAGTAGCTTGGGCAAGAGGTCTACAATCTGTATTTGCAGCAAAATTATAGAAGTGGCACTTATGTTTCTGCATACATAAAACACAATTAAATAATAAGCATATCCAAGGCAATTATTGATTGAAGTGCAATCTCATTTCAACATGGTTTAAAACTTTTGAAATGTACTATGAGTTATACAGTAGTGTTAAGTTTTTCTATTACACATTTTAGGACTTCATGTCATAATGTTGAACAATATTGTGTAAGAAACGAGTAAACAACTTCCATATCAAGTATTGTTTGTATCTGACTGAAATATTTATGGGAGAGATATTAAATATGTCTGCTATTACATCCAATCAATATCAGATAAGATTATTTGTTGGTTTGTATGTCTGAAAAATGGTAGGCAGGTCAGAAGAGCAAGCAAAGGTACCTAATTCAAACTGTTTTTACTGTATGTAGTTTACAATACTCTTATGAGACTGTGTTCAGATGGCACATCTAGTAATACAATGGTAGAACACAAAAGTTTAATGCTAAGAAATTTTTTTTCTTAAAATACACACATCTGCCAATCAGTTACTTCAGGCAGAATCATAGGGTTGATGTGTGCATTCTCTGACCATGTATAGCTCAGCTGTAGAGTGAAAGCATGTGGAAATTGAAGAGTAAGAGGAAATAAATGAATCACCTGCCCAAGACTAGATATGCCACTATCTAAACTACTGCATTATCTTCTCTGGCTTGTTTCAGTTTATTTACTAAACTACTAATACTGGAAACTTAAATGGCAATAAAAATAAAAAAAATGCAATAAAATAATAATAAATATTTTCATGAACATTTTCTTAACTTTAGATATAAGGTTCCTACATGAATACTCAACTGTTGTAGGGCTAATTTACAAAAAACAAATGCACATCTTAGAAAAAGAAATAAAATCATGTTCATTAATATATTAATTATAAGCAAGAAGCCAACATCAAGTTAGGCCTTATACTGTTGTTACTTTGACTGCTTGTGCTATTTGTTTAACAGTGTCATGATGAAACAGTCTTCTAGTTTCACAGCATTTTCCCTCACATGTTATCTCTCTGTGTCAAGTTTCATGACTTACTGCAAATAAGAGATAAGTAGATGATTGTATGATCTCCTCTTTCTCATGCTTTACTGCTTCTTCATCTAACACCAGATGGTATATAACCTGTGCAGTTGAAACAGAATAATTAAAAAACCTCAAGGAACATCCATTCATCCAATACAGACATACAAATATAAAACACCTCAAAATAGTTTTGACATATCATAAATAATGTTTCCATGAACACTATTTTTCACCAAATGTCACGGTTAAATGAAGAACACTACTACTTTGTATTCAGGAGGATCTGAGTTGAATCTCAGTCCCAAAACTGGCTATCCTTATTTGAGGTCTTTCGTTGTTTTCCTCAGTCCCATCAAGCAATGCTCGGATAGTACCTTAAACAGGCCATGATCACTTCCTTTCACATCTTTCAGAATCATAATTTTTATCATCATACCATCTGGTGCAGTTGAAAATCATCATTAAACAACTTAAGAATCGATCAATCAATTAATCAACACTATTTTCCAGCCTATAACTGAATAATAAACCAAGTAATGTTCCAAGAGGAGAAAAGAAGAGAGAAATACACAACTCTGGTCACCGAAATGAAATCTGTCTGCAGCAGGAACCTGGCAACACTGCCAACAGTCTCTCCCAACTGAAGCATAATACTGCTCCTTCCATTAAGTTGCCAATAAGATTCAACTTTGGTCTATGCCTCCTGCACTCTTCTCAGGCTGATGAGGGGATACAGATTCTGCTGACTGAACACCAGAACTGGATGATGAATCACTTGTGTAGTTAGCAGAACTGCCTTGGGTGTCACAGTGGCCTGATGGTTTGTCTGCAGGAATCCAGAATCAATAAGTTCATCAACTAGTTAATATACAATAACTATCACTCAGTACACTCCCTATTCACACAGCTGTGGTAGAGGAACAGGTGGCCTAGAGTATTTACTACTGTTTCTATGTAATGTCAGCTTTTGTTTGAGTTGCACAACACAAATTCTCGTTCTGTAATATCAACTCTTATTCAAAGTTGTTTTGGCATGTGTAGTAGCGGTGGGTGGGTGAGTAAACTGCTTTGTCACCTCTGAGTCCATAGGGGTGGTTGTACAGTAACAATTAATAGACTTGCATTGTAAGAAGCTTAGCTATGTAATCTATTTCATTTGTACCAAAAACAAGAATTGTCAAACAAGTTTTATGTTGATTACTTATCACTTATAGTTTATACAAAAATCACCTGCAATACTGTGCTCCAGTCTGGGGAAATAATTTATGAATTGCACTCCCAGTGACCAAGAATGTCATTCATTAAGACAGTAATTTGATCAATACTAATCTCCATCATTACCCAGACCCCAAAGTTACACCTTCCAGCTCCAGCCAAGTCCCTATGTTCATAATCATGAAGTGGCCCTGATAGTCTGAGGCAAACCTATGAGCTATTATTTTAAAAAAATCTTCTTCAAAGAAGAAATGCATATCTATGATTGCCTTCATAATCTCATAATTTATGACAGGATGCCTTTTAGCCTCAATGAAATGAACATATGGAAATCATACAATTAAGATGATTGTCAGAAAATAAAATATTTTCCTGGCTATGGTGTTTATATTACAAACAAGACACTATAAATAATATAATTTAGAATAAAATACATAAGAGTTTTAAAATATTAAAGTGTTTCTTAAAATAGTATAAAGCACAGAAAATTACTTCCTTCACGGTCTTACTTCATGAAATGGTAATCGCTTCACCCACAGTGAGGTGAAGCAGATGGCATTGCAATGTTACTGCCACCATAACAGGAGAAATAATACTCACATGTTTTCAATTATGCTACGTTTATGAGGAATTATCAGAAATAACACACACACACACCACACTTTGAAAAACAGACCCATTAACTAATTTTAATTACTTTTGTGTACCTGAATATGCTGCTACATACTTCAATTTTATTTTATCTGAAAGCAGGTTTATTTAACATGCTCACTCACTTACTCACCTCTATTTATGTGATTATTTTCCTGTCATTTTATTCTACATAAACTGTTCTCTTAAAGCAGCACATACACATTTAACCTACAGAGTTAATACTATTACAGAGGTTTAAAATATTTATTCTGAAATTTAAACTAAACAAAATTTCAATCCATAAACTATTTAATGTAATAAATACCATTAGTTGATAATTTATCAAAACATTCTGGGAGACTGCTAGTGCTTGTGGCAGCATGCTCGCCCCTGATGTCAGCCAATGCATTTCGACGCCCCGTTCGGCCTGATGAGAGGAATGCCTCCACTGGGTCTTTATTTGAGTCTGGGGACTGCTCTGTCATCACGGCCAGCATTTTTGTCACTGCAATAATAATCACATTCATCATAACTGGGTGTTAAATCAAAGAAAGTATATGAGATTCCATTACATCTGTTAATTCAATTATAAGTATTAGACAAACCCTTACATATCCATCTTTATTATTTTATTGCTACAGTAATACTAATTAAAAGTAACATTGGATTATATTCAGTACAAGCACCATGGCCAAATCATAAATTACAGTGTAACTAGTCAATCTAAAAAATATTGTAACTCACTGACATAATCTTCTCAGATTGTTTTTAAGCTTGGCTAATGATGATTTTAATATTTATAATTCCTCACAGTTGATTCTCAAATGGTAACAGTGGCTGACTCATCATACCAATATTATGCTGAACATTTTAGTTGTATGACCTTTCAGGAATTTATTCTACTCCTATCTTACGGTGACTGAGATGACAAATTTTCATTATACTGACAGAATTTAAAATCAGTAGTAGCTACAGCTGGTATCAAACACAGGACCACCAACATAGTAAGATAGTACACAAACCACAAGACCACTGGTGCAGTTCAAGAATGATTGTAAGAACTGTTTCTATGTTTATTTATAGTTACTGCCTATGTTATAGAAGAGAGAGCCATAGGCAGCCCACACTGATGCTTGGTTATATCATGACCTGTTCATCTGTTGATTTTAATTTCCTACAGATGAAGTTTTCTTCTTTGTGGATAATTTTTGTTTGTTCCCATAGTACTGAATGTTCTTTATTCCAAAAGAGTATACAAATACACATTTCCAAAGCACCTATAATCCATTATTATATCTTAAGCTAAAATTAGTATGGTCAAAAATTATGAATAATCATGCCAAAGATACATATTACAATCACAATCAACACTCTCTTTTACATTCCACATTATACTCATAAAACACCCTTCATTACTTGATGACAACATGCAAGTAACTCTCCAAAAGAGAACCGTATAACCATAACTATAAGCAGTACCAACATGAAGGCCTATTATTATCATGTTGAAGGAAGAGAACTGACAATGTGCTTTACAAAGCCATGCACCACACTGATGTTAGACGATATCTAAATACAGTGCTTTGTATTAAAAGAATTCATTAGAAAATCACGAAAAAGATCTTCAAGCCAACTGAAAGGTGCTCTTATACCAAAGGTTCTGGATTTTACTGGTTTTTGAGAAGATGAGACAATCTTGCAGGGCAATGTCTGTCTGAATGAGCAAACAATATTTGGTAAGACAAGGATTCGATTCAATTCAATTCATTTATTTAAGTGTTTGCCAACAGCAAGAAGCCAATAACAGGCAAACACTGATAATACATACAATAATACTGAAGAAATAATTAAAAATACAGATTAACTAAACATATACAAGTACAGTATTAAATGTAACAGCCAAATATAGGCAAACCCAAAACAGAAACAATATTATACACAAAGAAAAATAAACAAAGAAATATAAATAAAAGCAAATAATCCACATAGGGAACACTAATACAAATGTAAAACGTTAACAAAATACAAAAAACAGATAACCAAGCTAGATCATCTATCAAGATAACCTATCTAGATCATTTCCATTATTGAGAATGTGCCCTCAAGGGAGACAATGTTTATGCTAAATACGTCCAAAGATTTACATATGTCATGACACACCTGGCTGAAGGACTATGTCTAAGTGCACTGCTCACACTAAAAGTAGAAAATTCTCTTATTTGCCTCGCCGGCACATGTATACCAACAGTGTCCATAATGGAATGGCAATTTATTTTGCCCTTAAAGACATTAACAAGAAATAACGCATTGAGAGGTCAACATCTGGAATAGTGTGTTCTAAGATTAAAAGTAGATACCATCAGAGATCACATTGACACCATACTTTTAAATCTGTTCTCTCAGTTAAATCTCTTATCTATATTATGGAACAGTTGATATATGTACAGGATGATCAAAAAGTCACACAACCCATTCTTGACATATGTTCTATTTGTCAAAAAATAAATTACAATGAAATCAGAAAATAAAAAGCAATGTTACATTAAGTGTTGGAAATATCCACCACGATCAGCAATGCACACATTCACTTTTTTCCTCATGTCTGATGCAACCCTGTGAAAAGTTTCTGCAGTGACATTTGAAGTGCACATCTCAATTATTTTGTTTGTTCCTGTAATCTCCTCATTAAAACAAGGAACTGTGGTCTTGGCACCTTTCTTGTTAAGAACTAAGTTTCCGAGCTACATAAACCATCTTCACCGGGTTTCAACTCAGGACAGTTTTCAGGGTTGTAGCATTTTTCTCACTATCTTCTGGAAGGGGGGGAACTGCTTTGGTGCCTTTTTTTATCATGCTTACTTCTTGAGCTACAGAAAGCACCCTCATCAGGAATTAAAACCAGGACACCTTTTGTGGTTTTGGCCTTTCTAAAATATTTTCCTGATATAAGTTTGCCACGTTTGAGGCAAATTGGTACATCCCTTCTTGAACTATATATTCAACATACACACAAACTCACAATTTCAATTTTATATATGAGATAAAAATCAATATTAAAAATTCAAACACTCATATAAGATTCGCAATGAGAACAAATAAAGGATAGAAGATGGCTGTCTTCTGGTGGTTCTGCCATGTAGTCTGGTAGAAGTGTACCTCCTACCAGACTACTAGAAAATAGCCATTTTAAGACACTCTGCCATAAAAACGTCAAATCCTAAATAAAGAACACTTAGAAGGCAACAAAGGTAGAAGGTCTGACTTTACAATAATAGCAGAAGAATGTTCAAAAACTGTTTTGAACAAAGTAACTGAAGGCACAACACAGTTCAAAGAAAACATAAATAATAACTTGGTCAATGCAGTTTTCTGATGATATTCTTAGGACTAAGATTTCTTTTAATGGAACTAAAAATTCATGTAATAGTGTTATTTTCATGTGTTCCCTTCCCTTGGCCTCCCTAGAATTTAGTTACATGATCTTTTGCCCTTTGACTACAAAGTATCTCAGACCATGAAACCACAGAAAACAACAATACACTTTGCAGCCACTCCCCATCCTCCCTCCCTAATCAAATTCAGGGCACAGTTCCTTCCCTCTCTGCCTCAGAACATTCAGAGCATATTCCCTACCCCTTCCTTCAGCACATCCAGGTAATACTCCCTACTTTCCCTCCTTCAGCACATCCCAGGATTACTCCCTACTCTCCTTCCTTCAGCACATTCAGACACACTCCTCATTCTCCCTCCATCAGCAAATTCAGAGTATATTTCCAATCCATCCTCTCTCGTTCAGTATATTCAAAGCATAATGTCACCACTCAACCCAAGCTTATTAGTCTCACCTTTCTTTGGAGAAACCTGTTTATGCACATCTTGCTGATAACATCATGCAAGCTTCATGTATTAGAAAGCACATTTCTCCCCCCTTCCCAACATATCACTGTACATTATATAGTAAAAAACTGCAGTTTTAAATTAGCTGTTTCGTGCGAGCAAACCCATGCAAACAATCTTCAAGGTCCTTGAAAGAATTTGCCTTGTGAAAGACATATGATGAAAGGATTTGGGAGGAAAATATGTAGAATGTGTCAAACTAGGTTATGGGAATAAAGACTATAGTTTGAACCATTTTCAATACTTTGTATAGTTAAAGATATCTGAAGAAAATTCATGCTTAGGATGAAAAATTTAACCTTCTTAAAACTATGATCCTGAATTTCTCTTCTCCTTCTAATGGTGACTTAGTATTAGTACAATGACAAGTTCAAAAGTCAGTTAAACATGTCATATATTGATGAAAAAACTTGATTTAAGAATAAACATTCACACCAACAAAGTGAATGTTCTTATTTTGTATCATAATACCTACAATAAGTGCATGGGCTAACTGAATCTGTGTACTTCTTCCATTTCACTTAATACACAGAACATGGACTGGCACAGCTCAATCAGTATAGTGACTGGCTACAAACTGGACAACCAGGGTTTGATCCCCGACAGGGACAGAGGACTTTTCCTCTAGCCTCTGCATCCAGACCGGTTCTGGGGGCCACCCAGCCCTCTATCCAATGGGTACTGGGGACCTTTCCCTGGGGTAAAGCGAGGCCGGGCTGTGATGCTGACCACTTACCCCCATCTAGTGCCAAGGTCAAGAATGAGTAGGAGATATACTATCTCTCCCCCCCTCCCCCAAGGGACCTACGTGGCGTATAGCGGGACAGCTGTACTTTTAGGGAAGTGTTTGTCTTTCACTTTTTAGACAGAACATGGAGTTATTTAATTAATAATAAAATTCTGTGTCACAACTTCAACTAATCTGTATTATGAACTGTATGATAACTGAAGGAAAATCTGCAGGAAGAAAATTATTTCAGAAAGGTTGGATAAACTGGAGTGGGATAAGGCAAACTCCCTACCTGATCTGCGAGTCAACAGCCTACCCCTTCGCGGGTGAGAGTGTTTAGGAACTCGTACAACACCGGGCACTGTGGCCCCTCTCGCAGTTCTGGGGCTCACCTTCATTTTCTTAATGTAAAACTCTCTGCAAGGGACACATCACATAACATTCAATCTTCACCATTTGATCCACTCAATCATTAAGCATCTCAACTCAATTTTTCACTGTGATAAGGATCCAACTGATCACAATATTCACACATTTTCTTGAAGAAAATTCAAGAGCACATTACAACCTCATTTTCTTGTATGCAATTCAAAACTAATAGTTATTGAAAAAAGAACTTGTAATATCTGATCAAATTTCACATAAAATGATTCACATACACACTTAAAATTTACTCCTGTATACATTGGTTCAAGGCTGTAAATTCAAAATTGGAATATTTTGGCCATAAGAAAATATACATTTTCTTCACGGTTAGAAAATTCATAGCAAGAAGTGACCTGAACTACAGAATATAGAAAATAGTGACGCTAATTACTGCTATTTATTTCATTAAAATGTGAGTGTTATGCACATATTCCCCAAGATGAGAAAATGTGATATTTTGGAACAGTGAGCTTCTAGTATTCTATAAATATTGTTTAGGCAATGTGATGAGTTATGGATACATATTTTTTCTGAGTAAACTACCAGAGAATTTATTTTAGAGATAAAACCACTATTTTCTGTGAGAAGTAAAGCAGTTATTTTGTAATTATAATAAGTATTGTTTATGCTGGGTTTAGGACTACTGTTTCCCCCATGTTTTATCTCCTCTGTAGGTAGAGACCTTGTAATGAGGTCAATTCAAATTCCAATGTAAATCAGAGTAGGGCAGAGGGCCTAATCCATGATAGTTGAAGGCAATGAAGCATAATGAATTATTCTCAGGCTATCAGCCATGTCAGGTGGTTTAATGGATAAAACACTAACATTTCAAGAACCATCTTCATCCTTATCCTCAGGATACTAAAGAATTCATTATACTTAGTCACTGTGAAAGCTTCAGATCATGCAGCATATAAGCACTTCATACAGAATCAAAATCATCTGCCTATATGTTTCTACACCAACATTATGTAACCCAATTTGAAAAGCATCATCTGATTATGAAGTTGGACAAGAAGCATAACTGGATGCGTTCTCCATTACAGTATCTGAAAAAGGTTTAACTGCAGAAAAAGTGTACAATGGTAATTATGTGACATTATTGTATTGCAGGAAGAAAACATCCACAAACCCATAAATGTGCTTCATATCTTATCCTGATCAGGGGTTCTAGACTGTACTTCAAAATACTGTATATTAATTTAAATACATCACAAATTAATGTGGTCATTCATTACAAGTGGCAATGTTCTCTGGTGCTCATGAAAGGATCTTTCCTATTGTCCTGGACATAACTCCATCTCCTATTCTTATCCCTTGGCTCTGACTAGCCAGTCCCTCTGACTGATCAACATCCTAACTCTATATAAACCATCCACTTCCTGACCCTTCTCATTTCAGACCTGAAGATGGTGACATTATATGTTCCTCTGAAACACTGGTACAAAGACTACGTACGATGCAACAGCCCAAAAGACCACCATACCATACTAACATTGCCATGAAAACCACAAATTCCAGATTATTAAATACAGTTTGCAACATTTTTAAGAAAACTATGAGATGAGATTATTTTCCCTTCCAGCTGTAACTAAGTAATTCTCTGTCCAAGAAGCCCTAAAGATGGAGGCATACGTTGCTCTAAAAACACTCTTTGGTACAACTCAGATCACATTTCATCAAAATTATTTTCTGCGGGTTAAAACTGTAGCACTGATGTTGCATATATTACTGGAATTTTATTTATTGTACAATGCTTAGATCCGTATTAGTTCAGAATGTACTCTGCCACTATCTTTGGTATTTTCAAATCCTCTTTATTCTAAATTTCTCCTAATAGTTATATAATGCACACTAAATTGAGAAATCATCCCAATTAATTACTATCCCAAAACAACATTCCATGTACTTTCCACTAGTTATCTGAAATTTATTTCACTATAGTGGAAAGGTCAGGGGTCATACACCCTTCCAATCATGCAAATATCAACAGCAGCAACACAAAGGCATGCAGAAGCCCGTCCAGTGTATTAAACACAAGTCACTGCACCATAGCACAGCTTTATCATCCACTGATAACATTCTTTCACACATTCTAAAAACTTATAAAAAGTTAAATACAGCATTCAATTCCCTGAGGCTAAAGCAACTGGAGCATGAAACTGACCTCTCAGCTCTAGCTAACAAAGAGGTTAGGAATGTGATGAGCTTCATGACCTGTATAAGCCTTCACAGATTGGTGCTTAGGCACTTTCTACCTTCCATATATGTCCAATGGAATATATTCAGATGCTTTGCAATATTCATTTGCTTGAAGCAGTGGTTGAAGTAAAACACTGCTATGGCCAAATTCAGTGTTCGTTAAAATTTTAATTTGGATGCTCCAAAATATGAAAGAAACTTTAATCAAAGGAGTTCATTATACACAGACACTGTGAAAGCTTCATATCATACAACTTTAATCAAAGGACATGTGAAGGAAAACATAAATTTATTCAGGGCAAGCATCAAATAAATCTCAAGACTGGAATGAAACCTGACAATGCTTTAAATCTGATTACTAACCAAATAACTAACTATTACCTAACCAGATAACTAATACAGTTGCAGTTAACAGAAGCAGACTAAGCTAACCAACCAGGTTCTTGGTAACACAGACATCACTAATGATACCAAAGTCAGCATCACTGTACATGAATCTGAAAAGGTTCCATCCACCTACAACTTTCTTCTTAGTCATCCAAGTGTTTGCTTTCAAAATGGATAACCCACCAAACTTCAGAATGCATTTCCTTCTCCCACTCCAGGCATTATGTCCATCTAAGTACAATCCCCATATTGAACTAATCTAAGAACATTTAGTTCCCTGTATAAATTTATAAGTTCAATGTTATTTGATGTCCTCCAGTTTCCACTTACTGTATCCCTCTTAGGTCCTAATATTTTACTACACATTTCGATATGAAAACTCTTCAATCAAAGTAAAGGACAGCATATAAAACCACAAAAGAACTGGTAAAATTATTGTTTTAAATACATATGCAAAAGATTTCCAGGGAGGAAACAGCCTAACTCTGGGAGACCGTTAATCAGTGACTTTCAGTAAAGTAATGATATATAAACTCCAGCCCCATTTGTAATGGTTACAGAATTATGAATGTTCAAAGTTAAACAGTCAAGAAGCAGTTGGTAGAAATGATTACGTACAACTACAGTTAAATGTACATGATCTTTCTAAAAATACGCTTGAGTTTTAACTACATGTAATTACCTAACTGTGTGTTAAATATCATTGTACTTGGTTTCCTTGAGATCAGTAGTCTTGGGACAATGTGATGCCCCTGGTGGCAATGCCATGATTGCTGATCACTATCTCCATGTCCTAGAATAAGAATTTATTCAATTTCTCCAAGGAATAGGTCTCAGTGTCAGAGAAAGATTTTTTCAACAGGATGGGGCTCTGTCACACACTGCTAATGTATTGTTGGATGAACTCAATGAAAATGTTGATGACATACTTCATCTAATCGTTTTCCTCACACTTCTGAATATGGGTGATTCTGGCCATAATACTCTCTAGATCTGAAAGATACAGTTTACTAAAACAATCCGCACATAATTGAATAACTGAAACAAAAATTTCGGCTGCAGTGATCAGCACCAGAGAACAAACTGCTGCAGTCAGTGCGTCGATTCTTTGGCTGGCTTCAGTTAGGTCTGGAGATAAACTCCTTTGGTAAGTGAATGGGTAGGCCTACTTGATGCCGTCACGGCTGTTTCGTACTACGTTCTGCTATGACAATATAATGTGGGGCATTGATCATTAAAAACATAATCCCCACTTCTCCTTAGAAAAATTAATTCCATTACAAACTCGTGACTGCTGTAACAAGGTCAGTAAAAAAACAGACAAAAAGTAAAGCAGTCCCGCTCCAAGTCATGTAGATCGCTTGGGGGTGGGGGAGTGGGTGTATAGCTCATAGTCATTCTTCACCTCGGCACTAGATGGGGGTGAGTGGTCAGCATCACGCCCCAGCCGCGTTTTACCCTCGGGAAAGGCTCCCGGTACCCATTGAATAGGAGGCTGGGTGGGTCCCAGAGCCGGTCTGGATGCAGAGCTTACAGGAAAAATCCTCTTCCAACGTTACAGATCGAACCCCATTCGTCCAGCCCGTAGACAGTGACTGTACTAAGCTAACTCGGCTAACGCTGTTAACTAGGTGACGCGAAATTTTATTACTGTTCTCTCTTATTTTGGGCACCAGCAGCGCTTTTCGTCAGAGTCGTGTAAATGCCGAAGAAATTATAAGATACTTAAGTTCATTTAAGCTAGGAAAAGAGATTCCTCGTTACCTGGGGTGACACATAAGCTTGCGTCGGTCCTGGTAAATTTCATATTTACAAAGTTACGGACATTGGACATTTCGCCATGTTAACATCAAGTTGTGAGCGGAAGAGACGACATCCAGCTATGGAAGGTAATTGTAAATCAGGACCGTGCAGAGGGAGGTGGAGTGCGCCAGGGGCGTTGTAATTTTAACAATCGAATGAATTTAAATGCTAGTTTTGCGCGGTCTAAGGCATCAAATGCCAGGGATTCCAAATGTGACGAAACGGTACAAATAATGCAGCAGTTACATATTTCAATCTCTCCGGCTCTGCCAACCTGCGCATTCGGTTGAGGTTTGCTTGGGTAAATGAGTCAACCACAGTCGCGGGATTCTGGAGTAGAGTCCTTCTTGAAAGCTGACAGTTGCTCGGTCTGTCTAGCCATTTCCACGCCTATTATACACGAGGGTTAATTTCCGTGTTCACAACAGCCCGCAACTCGACCCTACCCTGAGCCAGGTGTAGCCAATTTTAATATTATCTCCAATCTACGCACAGTTATCCACATGATCAATTCCCGTCAGGTTCTCTGACCACAACTCTGCTCGAATTGCTTATTACTCCGTCCTTTCGAGTCACATGTCTCGCCCACATCATCTTCCTCGATTTGATCACTCTACAGTAGGCCTGTGGCGCAACTCTTCATGAACTTGTAACATTCTGTACTAATGGAGCAACTCATTTGTCACCTACATGTCACACGTCTTCAGAGCTTGTAATGCGTTCCTTCCAATGGAATCATACATATGAAACCAAATTAACAGAAGGGGGAATATGAAAGGTAGCCTTGTACTACAGCATTTAGGTCGTGCTTTATAAAAAAAAACTATTCAGTAAGATTTAAATCCCCACACAACAATCTTATATACAGTATATAATTTTATGGTGACCTGTTTCAACGGATATTACGTCATCTTCGGGCCATTTTTCTATGTTAAAACTACATACGTATCAGTTTTATGAAAGGAAAAATGCAGTTTCACTCATATCACCAGAAATTTCATAAGCTGTGTATAGAAGAGCTTTGCGCAGTAACTTACGAGCAATTCCGTCAGTTTGATCGATATAGTGATGTCTGGCACGTCAGCTGTTCACTATTCTGGCAGACAAGCCTCGTCAGAACATACAGATCAGGTCGTACTGTCACCAAAGCCATGTTTGGATAACCACTGCGGAATGCAAGTTTCCCATATTGTATGAAAGGAATGCGTTGCAGCTTCTTTTGAGGGTTAGCCATAAAGTTAATAACACCTCGCCGGAAATCAGAGCATGTTATAAAATGAAATACATGGGCTGATACAGATCCCAGGGTATTGAGAAAGGGGAAAGAAAGAAATGCAACGAAATAACAAAGTACAAAGCCTTCTGCTGGTGTAGCGGCAACACTTCTAACTACTATTAAACAGGCACCAGTTTGAGTCTCGGCCCGACTGCCATCTATCCTGACTCAAGTATTTAGTAATAATGTTAGCCTATATTTATTCATTAAATAAAAGTTAATTAAAACGTTTTCGGAAAATTTTGGACCAAACATACAAAAATATGCTTGGTACAATTTTAAAGGTATGCTTAATACTAGGGTTCGAATGTTCATGACGTCATATTTTAATTGGGGCTTCTATTTTGATTCTAAACTGAAATTAAACACTAAGTGGGTTATTCTAATCACAATTATGCTGTTTTTATTTTGCATATAAATGCATATTTAGGTAATTTTTATGTTTTGGGTCATATTTGTAGTTAAATGCATATTTTGGTTATATTTTGAGGATAAAATTCATATTTTACTTATATTTTGGGTACAAAATTCTTACTTGAAACTACATTTCTCAGACACCTACAGTGAATCCTTCAGTTAATTAAGATGCCGAAAGTGAAGTTCTGAAAGTGCGAAGTTAAGAGGTTTCGTTAAAGATCTGGCGAGGAATATTTTAGTTTTGATGGAACAATTCTGTTCTGTAAGGGACTTAATGTGCGACAACATTGTGCTACGGCAAAACATAAAAATAAATTGAGCCGACAAACCAGTCATCAAAGCGAGCAACGACTTCTGTTCGATAACACTGAAACACCTTCACCATCAAATATGACATCGGAATTTTCAAGGGACCTGTGTGAAATGATGGCGTCTACCAACTGAACAAAGTAAACAATGAGCAGTTCAAATTCTTCTTGGAGAAACACATGAATCAACACTACGAAAACACTATGTGCCTGCCTGTTATGTCGTTATAGGCACGCTCTTTGCTAATCGCCCTGGTGACTTATTCCTTCTTCATACAGTAAACCACTCCTCTATCGCTGTACTTTTCTATTAAGATTGTCATTTGAGACCTTGAAAATGCAAATCGTTATAAATTGTAATGTTGCCAAGAAAGGAGAATGAAGAAAGGTACTTGATATTTTGAATTTCGTTTATTTATTTGTGATTAATGAATTTGAAATGCATGAAAGGCTCTATCTTAAAATTTATTTTATTTTATAGGAGCACATATTCTCAACATCTGATGCTGATCCAAAACGAGGGATTTACAACTTAAAGCGACTAAGGTTTTTAATTAAAATTGCTAGGAAATCAAGTAATGCAATAGTTATATGTGCACATGTAAATAAATAACATGATTAAAATGCAAAACCCTTTTTTTTAATTTTAGTAAATATTTTTTCATAACAAATTAGGTCATATTTTGCCTTTTCTGGGGCATATTTGCATGCATATTTCTCGGTTTTTTAGGTCATGAACATCCGAAACCTACTTATTACCTATACACATGGTTCACTGCGCCATCAAACCATTTTAGGTAAAAAAAAGTTAAAAAATTTTAAATTGCTTACTGCAATAAATGTAACTCCAATGAAAATAATATAAGTTAAAATCACTTGGTAAAGGGAACTGAATGTTCAAGACAGTTCAGAACACGGTACTTTTTGAGAGAAGGAAACGGACAGTAATTTGTCACTCACATCAGCCAACCATTGCCCATCGGTCACCAGCACAGCTCACGGCCACTCAGCGGATCTGAAACATAATCAAACACTTAAACAATGTGGCCTGTTGTAGCCGTCACAAAATTTCTTGCTTCACAGTTACAGTAAAATTGTACAAAGCTGCAACACGAACTGCGGGGCCCAGGCGAGTGAAGACAGCTCCGAACTTTCAGCACGTAAAAGCTAGAAACTCTGTAATGTTGGCCCGGTAAGGGAGTTCAAGTTCTTACATGGCCTTTAAACCATTATGCTTCTACAGAAAGTTAGTACTACTCCACTCTTCACAGTTCATCTGATATTTTAACGGGTGCTACGAATACGGGACCCAACAGTTCAATAACAGTGGATGCTATGAGTTTATGTTTCGGTGAACAGCCATATGAAGCACTATCACGTCTTGCCGGGTTAGTATACGGAAACTTGTGTTATTTTTGGTTTACTTAACGACACTGTCAGTAGCTCACATACAGCGTCGACTGATAGGATGATCAATGCATAACGAATTGAAAGGATAAGTACGTACACGGTTGTGGCCTAATTTAAGAACCACCAAGAATTTTCGTGACTGAAGAAACCCACGCAACACCTCAGTCAGAACAGCCGGTCTACGGGCCGAAATTTGAACTCGGAACGTCCCAAATTCGAAGTAGAATTACTAACCACACGGTCGCGACGTTAGGTAGAATATTGACATGGCTGATGTAAAAGCCTGCAGTTTATTCTTGCATTAACGCTTTATTTCTTAAAATGTAATTTCGCTTCGAATCTATATTAACGTTACCCCATTGGTAGGCCTAATCATAATAACGCTACACGTGGAATTTTAAGAGTAACCTGTTACGTGACGCGGAAAATTAGATTCCATATGAATACATCAAAAAGCGTACAACACTCGAACACGCAGTTTCCTCGTTCCCCATCCCCTCCCCCCAATCGGAAAATACCACATCAGTTTATGTGAGAAAGACTGGTGACCTGTGGGTAGCCACCTTGGATTTTACAAAAGAACTTGGTACAGGTACATCACTTTATTACACTGCATAACCTACACCAACTCGGATATTTCCAGAGCATATTCGATTATACACGTGAAAATAAATGCGAACAACTATGTTCTGAAGCCGGAAAAATCGACTACACGCGGTATGCCAAACATGCTGCAGTAGCATACGAAAAATATCAACACTGTTTAAAATTTTAAATACGGTCCTATATGATGTCTAATCCGTGCTGATATTTTATTTAAATATCTAATATTCCTTTAATATGTTATTATAAAGTGTAACTTTAAGCTACTATTGTATGTTAATGCTTATCTTTCCGATGATACCTCATTACATTACATAGTTTGTTCATAAATAAAAATCATTGCAGCATGCTTATGATTTTATTGCTCAATAGTTTAATTTTCCATGACTGTGTTCCCATATCCCCATTAATCCCACACAATATTATGTTCGTCCAACGCGAATTCACCGAACGCGCCTCTTCAGAGACACGTGCCCCTCGCGTAGGACGAGGGTTTACTGTGCAGTATGGGCATATCAGCATCCACGTGACTGGGAATAAAACATGATCGCCCTGTCTCCTCCAATTTGTTTCCCGTGCACATTCTGCGAGCAAATGTAGAAAGTTTTCCTTCTGAATAGAAATTATGTTGAATTCTGAGAAAACTTTGACGTACAGAACGACCAATTCAGCACGCCGTCACACTTACTGTCTCGTAGCGTAGGACATAACTTTGCAATCGCTATGGTCAACTTCGGAAGAATACGGCAAATATTTTTGATTTGAAGGTATCGCCAAAACTCGATAAAGGGAAGTTCATTTTCAGAAACTGATAGTCGTTCAGCTGATCAAGAAATAATTATTCCCGCTTCACAGCCTTGGATCGCTATCTCCGTTTGCCCCGCCTGTCCTCCCATACAATGCGTGGCAGAAGAAAAGGCAAAAACAAAAACAAAAACATTGTTTGGAGAGACAAAATTATCAGTATCTTTCTATTTCAAAAAACTATTTACAGTGACATCCAAAACTTAGGCCTTCCAGGTCTCGTTCACTTCGTGGCAGGAGTAAATCAGTTAAGAAAATTTAAGAACATGATATGAATAATTATTGTATTTTTCCAAATGTTTATAAATATGTGATGGCCTTTCTTAAGCACCTTATATTTATTAAACAGACACCAAAAAGTTCATTATCGTGTTCCCAAAATACTGATAACACTTCAATCCAGTCAACGCTTGAAAACCAACATATCATCTCATATACCCAGATATTTCCACAAGCGTACCTCTTATTGACGATTTCCAACCATAATTTTACGCAACAACTGTTTCGTGCGTCTTAGAAATTCCATCATTGTAAGGTTAGGCAAATTTAAAGTTTGCACAAATCCGGAATATCCTGACGAAAGAAACCTGACCCGCATTCAGCAATATTTTTTATAACAAAGTTTGAAAATTCTTATTTGAAAAGAAACATTGTGACCGGAATCAGATTGTTTCCTAATGATGTAAATAAAAATATGATCAAACGCGCGGTAAATTTTTTTAAAAAAACAACAACTGTGAATTCCTTCCCAACGAAAAAAAAAACAAAACTTTCAACATTTTACACACACTTGCTATGCGTTTACTAGAGCGTGACACGAATAAAGAGGAAAACGATGGCTGGCTTTGTAAAGAGCTGCTTTATACACGAACTGCTAGAATGTCGACGGGCTGGATCCAAAACGCAGACGACTTTGCATGTGTTAATATTAACTAAATTAACGACAATGTATCCTGATAAAATCCAACCCGAATTTCAAAACCGCACAATCCAAAAACTAAATTAACGACAATGTCTCCTGATAAAATCCAACCCGAATTTCAAAACCGCACAATCCAAAAACCTCACGAGGAAGGAAACCAGCAATTATTAGGTTCTTCAATATGAAATGTAGGATTTTTGTTTATTGTTGTTTAAGATAATCTTTTTCTTCAATAAATTGAACCTTTCTATATATCTTACATATAATTTTAAAGCATCGGCCATCACCTTCATGTTACGACATACGTGAACTTAGTTACGCCTGAAAAAATAATGAAATGCCTCTAAGGAGAATGGAATACATTAGCGACCATATGCATCCGTTACGTACATCTTCATACATGCCGCCCCTCGCCACAAAGACAAGTAAACTACACAATTTATAGTACTATCACAAGATCGGAAAATTACATAAGGCTGTCACCTAATATAGTACAGGCTACTATGAACTGAAATAACACCATTTTGTTACTTAATCCGTTATGATTTACAACCGACGTGTTTTATAAGTTTTCCTTATATTTACGGCAGTGTGACAACATCAACTACCTAATAACTCAAGGGAATCGGCCACCTTTATGGATCCCCTACCACGTTCACACCAGCCCGCCCCTTAGACCCTATCCTGAGCCAGTTTAATCCAGTCCAAACTCGTTAATAACCATTTAAATATTCTCATCGAAACTTTGCCTTCATATCAGAACTGGTCTACTCTCTTCGGGTAATTTTAATGGCATTTCGTATTACTTCCAGATATAGAAACGTTGTTGGTTCTATAATGATTACTAGTGCTGTTTCGTGCCAATTTCGCAAGTTTCGTACAAAAACCAACTGAACAAACAACTACGCGCCCGCATCATCTTGATTAGACTATATGCCGTACACTGCTGTGGAACAAGATGCTGTACCAGCACGGCGAACGAGATTCGTGCACTACAGTTCATACATTTCGTGGAGGGTGATAGTAATTGTCTGGACAGAGAAGAGGAGACGGGAACAAGGTCTCAAGCGCAGCCTGACGAAGAAATCGGCACTGCTGTGACACAAAATATTTTCGGAAAACATTTGAAGTAAAATTGTTATCATTATTCATACTACCAAAAGCGTTCTTCGCCCGGGTGTTTCTTGAAATAAACCATACTGAAATAGTGAAAATGCTACGATAGCCTTACGAATACATACTGCTGTTAACCACGACCCGAAAAGACTAGGCATATAATATAATGAATGGTCGCCTATTAGTCAGAACAGAGGCGGATAAACCAGTAGAAACGAAATGATTTTATAAACGAGATTTTTATATGGCTCAGCTATATCACAAAAGAAAGTATCTAATGACTTCGTACTCACCGCTGTAAGAACCTCAAATTCTATCTGATGCCTATCGGTACAATTGAATCACAGTATCAAGGAGCTTCAAAAAATGAACCAATGTGAACCCATGACTCATCTGTTTGAGTTCTTCTGCACTTTTCCAGGCACGCTATTCGAAGTTGAAGAATGTAGTGGCATTCCATTAAGACAGATGCTGTACTTTTATACTGGCCCTAATTCGTTTTATTTGTTCACTTCAAATTCAATCTTCTCTTTGACGGAACTTAGAAGTTTGCACAAAGTTAAAATTTCTTTTCTCAAGCCATAATGTTCTTCTCTCTAATATTTATCATAGTCAATTGCTATTTCCTTCCAGGGATGGAGTTTCCCTGGCACTAAAACTTCTCCAATTTTTTTCTCAATCTCTGCATTTGTTACATCCACACTGTTTGTACACGTTTTAGTCTTTTTCAAGTAAAATTATAATACAGGCCAACAGGCAGGTAATAAATCCCCCGAAAATGTGACAATTTTCGAATATTTGGGGAACGACACAACAGTAATATATAAAAATTACATTCACGACGAAACTAACAGCACAGTAATTTCGAGGACTGCTTCCTAGCATGAAATTCATAGTCTTCTGTCTCCAATTAAAAACATTTAAAATATCAAAAACTATAAATGTGACGACTGTTGTGGTTTCTTGCGCTGCGAAAACACCTTCATCAACGATGTCTGAGAACAGGATGCTGAGGAAAGTAGCCTTGCTTGGAACGAAGATGGAAGTAATTGGAGGATGGATGAGACACTCCATACTTTGTACTCTTTACCAAACAGTATTACGGTCATACAACTAAGCAGGGAAGGGGCGGGTGGGACAAGGAAAAAGCATGAGAGATG